ATTAATGTGCACAATCGTCTATACGTTATTAAAGAAAAACTCAGTACGAGTCCGAGAGTGCAGTTTGCCGGTCATTCTTTCATTGTCACCGAAAATTGGGCAAAATTGGGGCAAAATTGGAAGCCCGCGGCTTCCAGTGTCCCCTGCTCTACGATTTGTCCTGGTGAGACTGTCTGTGACGGTCCTGCGTGTTGCAGGCGTGCTGTTGAGCCACGGCAACCTCGCCGCGCAGGTGCACGCGCTGCAGCACGCGTGGCGCGTGGGGCCGAGCGACAACGTGCTGCACACCCTGCCGCTGCACCACATGCACGGCATCATGAACGCCCTGCTGTGCCCGCTCGCCGCGGGAGGCAGGTAGGCCCCGACACTGCACGTCACGCACACTGAAAATAAATTGTTGTCGCTTTGTAGCAAAACTGTGGATGATATATGCGTCACTTTCATGTTGGCGATTTCATCACAACTTGATGACACTTTCATCGAAGCTCCTATACTTATTGCATGGGCCTGACAACCATGTCATCAATTGTGTTTGGTAACATTATTGTGCGGTCCGATGCCCCTGCACGCCTAGAAGGCCGTGTCCAAATCGAGTTGGTTGCGGCAGCCCGAAACAGGTCGGAAAGTTGTGCGAATGGCCTGGCCTCGCTCTGCTGATTACCCCACTTATGTTGCTGGGCCGCTTTCTTGTACGGGAGCGGCGTTCCCGTACTGTTCATATCTTTGAGGAACGTCCGGGAGCCTTGTGCCGGTATCACAGTTATCGTACAAGGTCCGTACAAAAAGTAACTTTCGTCTTTCGTTGAGACGGGTCCAAAAGAATATATCTCTCACGAGATCAAGCATGATCGTGACAATTCTATGTGGCGAAATCAGAAAATTGGATTTGTTCGCGTAGGACCATTGGTCCACTGTCCATCTGTCCATTGGTTCACAGTTTTCACCGTTGATTAATAACAGAATTTGCCGTACACTTGGAAGTACGGTGTTTACTCTACCTGCAAGTACAGTGTGCACCGTGCGGTGCACTAGGTGAGAGACACCCATTTCTTTTCACCTAATAAAGAGAAGCTCCAGACAAAAAAAACCACTTGGTCGGCGACATCCTAGGAGCGGGCGCTTGTGGTGTTTTATCGGTTCCTTGTATGTATACGAACTGCCGAAAAGACACTTGGACGAAATCCGACACCCCCTGTGGCTTTGGTACGGGTCTAAACACCCCAAAAACAGCTGTTTTCGAGGGTTTGGGACTAGATGGGTTCTCGCAAACCGAGATCCAAAAAAGTACCCAAATGGGTCTCAGATACTCAAAAAAATGCGCTCTTTCGAATGCCGTGTCGAACGAGGCTCTACGACGTCAGGTTTGGATGCTACGGGCTCTCAAAGTTGCTCAATTTCACTATTTTTACTGAAGATTTGAGCATATCAGGGCCGTTTGAAGTGGACCATCGGCGATTTCGCTCCTCTTTGTCTTAAATGGTGCCTACCCATCGGTGAACACCCCCACAAAATTTCAGCCATGTCAGCCAATTTTTAGAGGAACTGTGATCAATTTAAGTTTTGGGTCATTTTACCACTGGGCTTAGGTGGTTTTGGGTCCAGAAAAAATAATTTTTCTAGCTATCTACTTGTGATCAGCACCTCTTGAAACGCCTTTTTAACATGGTGCCTCAAAACATTTTTTCGAGGACAAACTTGTCTTTTTCTAGCTGTAATTGGAACATAACTTAGAGAGTTTGTCCTCGAAAAAAAGTTTTGAGGCACCATGTTAAAAAGGCGTTTCAAGAGGTGCTGATCACAAGTAGATAGCTAGAAAAATTATTTTTTCTGGACCCAAAACCACCTAAGCCCAGTGGTAAAATGACCCAAAACTTAAATTGATCACAGTTCCTCTAAAAATTGGCTGACATGGCTGAAATTTTGTGGGGGTGTTCACCGATGGGTAGGCACCATTTAAGACAAAGAGGAGCGAAATCGCCGATGGTCCACTTCAAACGGCCCTGATATGCTCAAATCTTCAGTAAAAATAGTGAAATTGAGCAACTTTGAGAGCCCGTAGCATCCAAACCTGACGTCGTAGAGCCTCGTTCGACACGGCATTCGAAAGAGCGCATTTTTTTGAGTATCTGAGACCCATTTGGGTACTTTTTTGGATCTCGGTTTGCGAGAACCCATGTAGTCCCAAACCCTCGAAAACAGCTGTTTGTGGGGTGTTTAGACCCGTACCAAAGCCACAGGGGGTGTCGGATTTCGTCCAAGTGTCTTTTCGGCAGTTCGTATACATACAAGGAACCGATAAAACACCACAAGCGCCCGCTCCTAGGATGTCGCCGACCAAGTGGTTTTTTTTTTGTCTGGAGCTTCTCAAAAGTAAATCTGGACGATTTTATAAACTCACCCAAACCCCTTGGAATGGAATTCATGGCTTCAGCTAAACAATAAAGTATAAACTACGGTAAACGCCGCACGGAAGTACAGAAAGGTACGGCAAATACCGTATATAAATAAATTAGCGGTGAAAACCGCATCTTTTCCTCACAGTGCACAGTAAATGTTCATGTAGAATTTTGTACGTGCCACTTGCACGATTTTGTGCATGCGGGGAATTTGCATAATATTGTGCGTGAAAATGCATGAATTTATGCAAATTCACGCACAATTTTATGCACGACGGCACACAAGTTTAAAATTATGCATCACCACGTACTAAATTGTACATAAAAATTTAGTGTGTGTCGTCTAGACCTTTGGCCGTCCGGATACACGTGTTGTGCTCCCCGACGGTTGTGAATGTGAACAGAGAAGTATGTGGTGCAAGCACAGCTGCCTGCGTGTCGCAGGGTGACCATGCTGCCCAAGTTCTCGGCCAGCCAGGTGTGGCGCGAGATGCTGTCCGACGCGGAGGACCGCGTCAACGTCTTCATGGCCGTGCCCACCAGCTACGCCAAACTGCTCGAGGAGTACGGCGCCTCGGTGGGCAGCACGCCCCAGCAGCGCGACCAAGTCAGGGACACGACGCGCCGCAAGATGAGGTACACTGTTAAGAATTCCGTACGTATGAACGGAAATGGTATTGAAAAATATGGTACGGAAGTACGGAGAAAAGTACGGAACGTTCCGTACATGCTCCATTTGAACCCATGTAAAGGGGTACGGAAAAAAGTACGGAAGTTCCGTAGTTGGCAAGTCGGGCCAGGCAAATTATTGACCAGACATGTTCCGTACTTTTTTCTCACAGTGTAGCATCCTTACGTCACAGTCCGAAAGGAAGCAAAACCTTGGAATCCTTAACGTACCTCATAAGGGCATCATAATGCTATCGTACGCGTTAAAGTTTTAACCCTTAACTTCTGAATTCTTTTCAAAAGGATAAGTTGTTTTTCTTGTGTCTCGTGAGTGTGGAGGTACTTGCAAAACCTTTAGCGAACATTGTCTTATGATACGTGACGAATGCAGTGTCAGTTTTTAACTGACCTGGAGGTCAGGGATCCTTAAGGATCCTCGAACAAAACCATGTTTTGCAGGATGTTACGACAACAGTTTGCATTAGGGGCTACAACTGAAAAAGCACAGCATGAACCAAGGGGACAGCTTTTCCTTGATGTGAGGGTGTGCCGGAGTTTCGTTCCCTATTCCGCTGTATTTCTTTGGACCACATAGGATTGCATACACTTGCCCCACACCCAGGAAAAGCTGTTCGCTTGGTTCGGTCATGCGCTGCTTTACTTTGAGTTTTAGCCATTAATGCAAACTGTTGCCGTACCGGCCTGGTTATGTTTATCCCTTTTAGGGGCGTAGTTTTTACCCCAACTGACCTTAATCCAAATCTACACACTGAATTCCTCTGTACTCTTTTGCGCAAGAGCTTAGGATAAAATTGAGCTTGCATTTTCACTGAGAATGAAAGAGTCACCACCATCGCCCTTTCATTGGGTAACGCACGCGCCGTTGCCCACTCTGCAAACACAACAGTGTACTCAGTACACTCTCTTTAGAGTGTACTCATGAGTGTGTACTCGTGAGTACACTCTCATCAGCGTGTACTCACGAGTACACTCCCACGAACGTGTACTCAGCTGCATGTACCGTAAACCGGGGTAACTTGAGACAGCAAGGGTAACTTGAGACACTTCTGCTTTTCCACCTTTTTGGAGCTGCCACCTGGCTCGGCACATTCGGAGGTCAAAACTGCCCTAGCACTTTTTTTCATACTTGTTTGGAAAGATGATAAAGCGTTTGAACGGCGGGTTAGGACCAAGCTGGTCAGTTCTATAACGATTTTTCAATTTTGGTAAACTTAACCATTTTAGGGAAGTGTTTCAAGTCTCCCTTGGTACTCGAAACACGTCTTGCTGAGACCCAAATTACTGTAGTACCTTTCAACCCTATTATTTCAACATTCTAAATGCAGCATTGGTTTTGAGGGAAACATATCATTCATCGGGTAATACTGACTTTTATAGAAAATGGTAACAGTGCGGGGTAACTTGAGACACCAAATTTCATTAAATTTGACGGAAGTTGAGAGGCGTAACTTGACACTGGCACCTCCTTGTACTACAGGGTGGTTTAAATAACGGACCTCTCCGTTCTAAGATCAAAACTCAGCCGAATTTGATCGGGAATCACTTTTTTAGACATTGTAGAGGGTCCCAAGTTGATATGCAGCTTTAAGTTTGAGTGTTTTCTCAACTACACACGGACCAGATGAGACATAATAAAGCTTGAAGTTTCAAAAGATGGGGAATTTAATTACCTTTCCAACGAGCTAAATGTCATTGAAATCGGACTACTTATAGCCCAAGAACCGTCGATTTTTTGAAGAAAAACAACTGTGAAAATAGTTTAAGGATTTTGAGTAAATTTCAAAAATTGACTAAGACTATATACCTTTGCAGGAATGGACTTGTGTACGTAGAAATAAAGAAAAATATCTTAACAGGTGTCAGGGTTGGATGTGAAATGAGAGAATCGCTCTACTTAGTTGACAGAGTTGGATGTGAAATGGAAGAATCGTTGCGCTTCTGAAGTGCCGTTATCCCTCAAATTACCAAATGTAACTTTGATGAAAAAATCTTAATATAAGGATCAAAAATCTTCTAATATATTCCACAATTAGTACTTTTCATTGAAAATAAGTTAAATGTCTCAGAAAACCAGTATGGACTGGCAAAAACTCCACTTCCGTGAAAAAACAAAGTAAAAACTAGGTGTCTCACAAGTTACCCCAGATGACGGGGTAACTTGAGACAACTTTAGAGGCCCATTACTCTCATTTTAGGAGACTCCCAAAAAATTCGTGGGGTCAAAACCGAATGTAATCATATGAAATTAAACATAGTTGAGATTTGGGTTGGTGAGAGAAGTTTTGTGGACACACGGTCACTGAGAATGAATTGGTCACCACCATCACCCTTTAAATGGGTGATGCAACTTCGTTGCCCAAATTGTGGTGACGAAAAATTCATCACCCGAAATTTGGTAACAGGCGTTTGGTTGCCCAAATTTGGGTAACGCCCTCGGCGACGCCGTGAGGTTCCCGATGACGTCCTTCCGGGGCCACCACGATGACCGGAGGCCTCAACGCCCCATTGGGTCATCGTGGTGGCCCCGGAAGAGCGTCATCGGGGACCTCACGGCGTCGCCGACGACGTTACCCAAATTTGGGCGACGATTTTATGACTGCCCAAAATTTGGTCACCGCTGGCTCGTCACCCAAATTTGGGCAACGGCGCGTGCGTTACCCAATGAAAGGGCGATGGTGGTGACTCTTTCATTCTCAGTGGTCCAAAAAACGTGAAATATTGTCTCAAGTTACCCCGGTTTACGGTATTGTGCCGACTTAAGCACACTCTCGTTAGAGTGTACTCAGCTAAGCACACTTTCGTTATAGTGTACTCAGCTAAGCACTCTCTCGTTAGAGTGTACTCCGCTGAGCACACTCTCACAGGAGTGTGCTTATGAGTACACTCCAAATAGAGTGTACTGAGCACACTGTTCAGTTTGCAGAGCAAATTTGGGTGACGAGCCCGCGGTGACCAAATTTTGGGCAGTCATAAAATCATCGCCCAAATTTGGGTAACGTCGTCGGGCGACGCCGTGAGGTCCCCGATGACGCTCTTCCGGGGCCACCACGATGACCCAATGTGGCGTTGAGGCCTCCGGTCATCGTGGTGGCCCCGGGAGGACGTCATCGGGGACCTCACGGCGTCGCCGAGGGCGTTACCCAAATTTGGGCAACCAAACGCCTGTTACCAAATTTCGGGTGATGAATTTTTCGTCACCACAATTTGGGCAACGAAGTTGCATCACCCATTTAAAGGGTGATGGTGGCGACCACACTGGGAGAAATAATGAAGATTGTGGCTGTTAAACCTAATGCCACTCTCCACTGTTTACCGAAAGAAGGTGTTTACCGTACCCTGGGATACAGAAGACACCGTACCTGAAAGAACGGCGTTCACTGTATCCAGGGAACCTGCATCCACTGTACCTTGGAAACTTTTCAGACACGGCATTCAGTATAACTGTAAGATATAGGCGAAATTCCAAAATCACGATAGGAACGTTTCGATGACGGAAAAGAATTCATTTCAACAAGACGAACAAAAAATGATAAGCATGTTATGGTCTCAGACTCGTAATTCAGTGGAAATCGTGATCAGAAGTCTAAAAAAGTAGGATTTTTGGACCCCTAACATAGGACTCATCAAATTACGTTCCAAAATTCTACTTTTTTAGACTTTTGATGCCGATATCTGTTGAATTTCGAGTCTGAGCCCATAACATGCTTATCATTTTTTGTTCGTCTTGTTGAAATGAATTCTTTTCCGTCATCGAAACGTTCCTATCGCGATTTTGGAATTTCGCCTTTATCTTACAGTTATACTGAATGCCGTGTCTGAAAAGTTTCCAAGTACAGTGGATGCAGGTTCCCTGGATACAGTGAACGCCGTTCTTTCAGGTACGGTGTCTACTGTATCCCAGGGTACGGTAAACACCTTCTTTCGGTAAACAGTGGAGAGTGGCATTAGGTTTAACAGCCACAATCTTCATTATTTCTCCCAGTGCAATTCATTCTCAGTGTTGAAATGCACCAATTTGTGCGTTACTACACGGTAAAAACGTTGCCTGGTTTTCCCAGGAAACCTTCAGTAAAGAGAGAGGCTATTTCCAGTGAGTTCCTGGAAATACCAGTATCCGTTTTTACCGTGTAAGCACAAAACCGTGCGTTGTTGCGCATAAGATTCGTGCATATCGGAAGGCATGCTCAATTCAGTGCAAAGCCTATGCACCTAAAAGTACGTAGCAGCTGAGTGTCTACAACCTTGACGCGCCTCCTCCCAGGTTGATGGCGAGCGGCTCGGCGCCGCTGCCCGTGCCGGTGTTCCAGCAGTGGGAGGACGCAACGGGGCACCGCCTGCTGGAGCGCTTCGGCATGAGTGAGGTGGGCATGGTGCTCTCCAACCCACTGGAGCCGCAGTCAGGCCGCAAACCAGGGTTCGTCGGCACGCCGCTGCCCGCCGCCAGGGTGCGCATCGTACGCCCCGCGATGGACGGACAGCGAGAGGAGGTGCGTTCCCTGTTAAGTAAGACCACATCAAAACTGCAAATCCTGCCCGACATCTCTACGTAGTTTTTTCGTGCAGAATGGAGCATGGGCGTGAAACGCACAATGCCCTGCTTTGTTTCGCACAAATGATCCACGAAGCGGAAGAAGGGGTTAAGTCGAGATGATTCAGTGACCTCTTATCAGTCTATCAAGTGAACATGAGCGAAAATTTGGCCCAAAAATAAGTGTGGTGAGACAAGCTCCATCCCCTTGCATCTAATTTTAGATGACATTCCCCACCTGTTCTCCCACCTGCAAGGTTCAGGCCTTGCAAAAGTGCACGGATTCAACTCGACTTATCCACTTCTTCCGCTTCGTGGATCAAATTCGCACTGCAAATCAAAGTGTGGGACAGGCATGCACTAGTTAACGCACGACAAACTTTCTCACGTTTGTAAGCGTCACACACAGATTTGTCCTACGTGGGATGGGCTTCGTCCTACTCTTACAAAGATGGGACACTTTGTCCCACGTCTCCTAGAGTGTGCCTGTCATGCAATTGGGTTTGCAGTGCGTACATACGCACACCCAATTTTGAGCAAAGCTTATGCACACAAAAGGACATGTCTAAAAGCAGAACACATTTTCAGTGACTTCATGTACCACTTCTTTCTACATCATTTCATCTGCTTAGAAGGCCTGGCTACGAACATTGAATCCATTATGACCCCCCGACCCACGCCCGAATCCCGGCAGGGTAGATTTTCATGAGAATTTATTCCCTCAATTTACATTGTTCAACATTCCCGAGGTTGCTGAGACCAAAGATGTCATACACGGTTGACTTCCAGTGCCATGCCGGGAAGTTGTCACGTGGACAACTGTCCAACTTCTTCGTTTAAACTTGATGGACTTCCGGGCATGATGAACGAAGTAGCACGGATTTGGATCACATGGATTTGAAGCAGCATTTGTGTCCATCGATCCTGGTGGATTGACGAAAATGCCTGGCTTGTTCATTGATACCAGTTGGAGTCATCCATTCACGCAGTCACTTATGACGGTTAGTCAACCATGCAGATGGACGCACAGAGTGAACTCACTTGAGTGTGAAGAGAACAAAGTCCTAACCGTAAAATTTTATTTTTATCACGCACTGAAAATCAAATCGTTATACATCTTACTCTGTGAGAGGTGAGTCTCACCTAAAAAGGGTGATACTAAAATATATCACCAAAAACAAATTCGAATCACCGAAAATAAAGGACCTACACTAATTTATCACCGAATAAAGGGTCGCACACAAATGTGTCACCGATTAAAGGGTGACAAGTCCACAGGAAAACAAGGGCCAATCTCGCTGATGTCTGAACCTTTTTCGGTGATACATTTGTGTACGACCCTTTTTTCGGTGATACGTTCGTGTACGATTACGATACTGAAAGTATTGCGGAAAATTGGTGAGTTGTCTCACCAATGCCACTTCAGTGGCATTTCCAATAATGATTGAAGTTATTTTCTACCTCTGCGACAATTTTCGATTTAGCAAGAAAAGGATTACAAGGTAGGTTTACGACAGACCGCGTCTTGTCGTAACAGGCTTCGCGATGTCTCGCTGCCTGTTCCTCAAATCCGCGCCTGGCGTACCTACCTTGGCCTGCGGCGCAAGCCTGCCTTCGGCAGGCCATGGCTTGTCCATTGTCGGTAATTTTTTAACTTGTCGCATGGTGGGGGGCTCCGCCCCCTAGACCCCCTACATTCTAGATAGAGATGCTTCATCTACAGATAACACGATCTTGACCCTTGTAACTTTTTAACTTGTCGCGGCTGGGGGGCTCCGCCCCCCAGACCCCCCTTTCTCCAAGACAGGAGTGATCTATCTGCAGAAAACTCGATTTTTCGCCGTTTTTTGGGTGTTTTTCGACTATAAAAACTGAACCAGTTGAGCTAGGATAGTGAAATTTTGCGTGTGCTGAGCCAAGGACATACCCAAAAAGTGTGCTAAATCTCACTGAGATCGGCCGAGCCGCTCAGGAGGAGTAGTGCACACAGACAGACAGACAGACTGACAGACAGACATGAAAAACTTTTCAACCCCACTGGAGTAACAGGCTTCGCTATCGATCAGCCAAAAACAAAAGTGAACTGGGCCTGGCTGGCAACGTGATGAAAATCGGTAGCGCAGTTGGGGTGACTGTTGACAATGGCATTCCCAGCAACTGACAGATCCACTTGTGCGGCAGGTGCTGTGTGAGGGCGACGACCAAGGCACGGTCCTGCGAGTCAAGGACGGCAAGCCGACGGTGGGCCACCTGCTGGTCAAAGGCCCCAACGTGTGCGCGGGCTACTGGCGGAAGCCCGACGCCACTGCCAAGGAGTTCACGGCGGACGGCTGGTTCAAGACAGGCAAGGCGAGACGAATGCACTTCAAGCTGTCAAACTGCCCTATTTAAGAGGGAAATAGACCTTTCCGGGCTAAGCAACTTGTTCAGTACACTCGGATCTTTGCGCCGCCACACTTAAAGATCCAGCTCATTTGTGGCGGAACGGAATTTGATTCGGAGTCTACTGGAGTATCAACAACGACACTTAACATCCATAACATAGTTGCCGAAACAAAATTTTTAGCTACTGTTATTAAAAATTTGTGGGGGCAAACAAATTTTTTGTTGTGTCAACTTGTTTGTTCTCTGAGACCGCTGTCAACTGACGTTGGCTGTTAAGACCTTTTTTCCCGTAAGGGTTTCAAGGTCCTTTATCTCTGCGTAGTGTGAAGGTTTTTAACACAAGCTATGACAAAGATGCCGACAGTAGACGAGAAGTGTATTCGTTTTCTGTCGATTGTTGACTGAAAATCACGCCGCCGTTTCTTCCGGTGCGCGCCCACCGATCGTATAACATGACGGCTGCTTTATTTTCCTTGTCCAAATGCAGGAGACACGTGCGAATTCGTTGACGGTTCGTACAAGATCCTGGGCCGCACCTCGGTGGACATCATCAAGACGGGGGGCTACAAGGTGAGCGCGGTGCAGGTGGAGACATGCCTGCTGGGGCACCCCGACATCGCGGACTGCGCTGTGGTGGGCCTTGCCGACGGCACCTGGGGTCAGAAGGCAAGTAGCTTCTAGTCCGTGTGCTCTGTAAAATGTTGCACTCTAAATGTCTTACGGTGAAAGGCTGCATCACCATGTATTCTCCATGGCACAGACGAAAATCGTCAAAATATCTACTGCAGGGGACAGTGAATTATCAATGATATGGTTTTAAGTCAGCTGCACTGCAGAGTGAACTGCAGTGTGAATTTTCCTTATAATACAGAGAATCTTCACAATACGACTTTTAGAGTATGTTGTCATTTCATGTCAAAATTGTAGAGGACGTTTTCATCACTTGCAAAGGATGGCGATTTCATCACAAATTGATGACACTTTCATGAAAGGGCTTTATGCTTGGCTGTGACTGGAGTGTTATCAATGATGACATTTTCGAAAAGAGAATCACTCTTGAAATTTTCATCAGGTGATTTTCACACTCTGCAAACTGAAGTGTCTGTATGTTGCACTTACTTCTACCGCATGCTTCCAAGGACACTCTTATTACAGCAGTACTTGCTAGGCACACGCTAAAGTAGAGTGTGCCTGCAAGAACAACCTGGCCCATGCTTTTAGATAGGACTATCGGTAGTACCTAAGCGCGTACTTGTCAGGCACACTCTATCTTAGCGTGTGTCACCAAGTACTCTGAAAGGAGTGTGCATGGAAGCAAGCTGTAAGTGAGAGAGTACTAAGTAGACACATTTGTTTCCTAAATCTTTGAGGTGCCCTCTCTCGCGGCAGTACTGTACTGTAAATAACTTCTCCCTTTTTCTCCCCAACGGGAACAGATTGCCGCCGTTGTGCGTCTCCAGGACGGCGCGACACTCAGCCTGGAGAAGCTTCGCGACTGGGCGCGCGAAAAGCTGCCGCCGTACTCGTTGCCCAAGGTGTTGCGCGTGATGAAGGAGGTGCCGCGCAACCCGATGGGCAAGGTCAACAAGAAAACCCTCGTGGCCGAAGTGTTCCCCGATTCGTCGTGAGAACGAAAAGCGACGCAATGTTTCTCCATTCAACACGAAAAATAAAGAGCAGTCTGAACAAATGTGTCACTTTCGCTTTAAAGCAGTGAGGGCGTTTATTAGATAGGACAGGAGGGTTCTCTCAAATGATGGCTGTAGCAATCCGATGTTTCGCCAAATATTTGTCAGGCGGAATTTCTCTTACCCTCTAAAATAAACATAAGCCCACCGCAATGCCACCCGTTTGCGCCAAAAGTTTGCAAATCGAAATGTTAAAAAGAGTCATGCCAGAAATTTGGGTTGACTACCAAAACTCTCATCTAAAAACAGTTTCTTCCGCGCACTTATGCGCACTTTTTAATGCGCACTTAACTGTGAATTATGCCCTCACAGCTCTCGGACAGGGTCACTGTCACACTGATAATGCTATCAAAAGCATATGAGGTTGCAGTTTTCCGGGTGCAACATTTCAATTAGTTTCTATTCACCTGTTGCTACGAAGCTTGAGCGGAAAATTTGTATTGGAAAACGATAAGGAAACTTAATTACCGTTCATTTTGCACTAAGATGTTCTTCAACGGAAAACGAACGCAAAGTTTACCAGCACCACACACGGTACTGTTTCATGCAAAAGTGTATGTAATATTTAGTGTTTGAACAGTTGCCAAAATAAGGGCGTTGATGTGCTCTTGGGATTTTTCAAAACATACGGGAAATGAGTGATTTTCTGCTCTTTGTTGCCCACCATTTGTGTTGGCCCAGCTCGACACCTACCCACCAAAGACAACCGATGAGAAGCTATCGAGACCTCAACCCCAGCTAGTCGCAAATCCTCCTATTTTCACCTCAGCTGGTACTGGTAATCGCCTTGAATAGGCCCCATGGCGGTTTAGTTAGACAAACACAACGACCGAAATGAGCCAAGGTTGCGATTGCAATGTTTATCGCTACTTTTCCTGTTCCTTATCAGACCACGCTTACAGTGGTACAGTGCCGGGCCCTTGACGGCGCAGCTTGGACCGTACCCTTCGAGGTGGAAGGAGCTGGGTAGGGTGGGCCGGGAAACACGATTTTTCGATATCGCAAACGTAATAGCGCGCCAAAGTTACTTCATGGCATTACAAACTCAACGCGATCTGGGGCAGGTCTGTATCTTAAAGCTTGACCCTCGCGCATCGACGTTGAAAATTCGAAAATTCGACTTTTACGGGTTTTTCTAAAAACATCCATAGAAACTGAACCAGATGTCCAAATGATGTTTGCGAGACGGAAATGGAAACGTCTGATCATGCTTTATCAGTTTAAGACCACCGGGACCCTCTCCGAGCAGTAGGGGACCGATGGGAGAAAATTACAAAATTACATTTTTTTTCCGTTTTTTACAAAATGCAAAAATTGCCTTCAGGGTTTGATACGGCCATCCTGACGTCACCGTACCCGAACCATACCCCGAATCATCTTCTCTAAGGGCCCCTTTCCCGTTTTAAGCGCACGGGGTACTCCGGGATCCGTTCACACGTTAGGATTTGGACGCCATAAATACATGTTTTACTAAAAATGCAAATTATCGGTACTTAGGGCACTCGTCTCGTCCGTATGAACTGTAGTGACTCAAAATCGATTACTAGATGGTGTCTTTGCGTCACAGGCACCTACAACCTATGCGATGGATAAGAATAACCTGTATAAACGTGCAGCGACCTTCTGTCGTTAATCCAGACGAGCCAAATATGTTTTAACTCTAGATTAACCAGATTTACAGTGTAAATAGCGTTCTAAGCGTCTCTTCGTCCGATTGTCTATATACTGGTGGGTTCCTGCGACGCAAAGACACCACTCTGCAAATCCAAGTGTGTGCCAAGCACGCACTTCCTGGAGTCAACCACCAAGCACGCAGAAAACTTCAGCGTGCCTGCCAGGCACGCAGAAAACTTCTGCGTGCTTGTCAGGCACGCAGAAGTTTGATGCGTGCCTGCCAGGCACGCAGAAGTTTTCTGCGTGCCTGGCAAGCACGCATCAAACTTCTGCGTGCCTGTCAGGCACGCATCAAACTTCTGCGTGCCTGACAAGAACGCAACAGACAGCAGTATTTGGTTGAGCAAGTATTCCACTAATAATAACTTGAAAGCTTACAGTTCTGCAGAGCTAAGCGATAAGAATTAAAATATTGATCTCAGTCAGGAAAGAGATTTGATTTGTGTTACCGAGTCACCGAGTTCTTATCAAATCCTCTTTTTCATTACCGCTGCAAGTGCAGTCTGTCAAGCTTCAGTCAAAAGAAAATGGGGAGCACTGCTGCTTGCTTCAAGTAGCACATCTCACAATGCAAAACATCAGTAAAGAGTTGGTTATGGAGACAGCTGTCAGTCCTGCCTGTCTTACCTCACTGCAGCATCCTCCTTTGTCCCTCCTGGGCTCCAGTGTCCAGGAACATTGGAACTCGAGGATGCGTCCACCACCTCAAGACCAAACTATTCCTTGCTGCCTCCGGCTGCCCCATTCTCGCAGTCTTCAAAGAATGGCTTGTCACACCATAAAACCAACACAGGTTGACACTACAATGAATTAGAACATTACATTCCGCATCGTCACTCGGCTTTTTAGCTGCCATGTTAGATTTGTATTTTGTTGTGTCGTCTGCTGCCGCTGCCAGATGGCATTTGTTTTACAGAACTGCCAACCTAAACACACAATATGTCCGACGGCTTCACATTTCTTTCTGGAACTGAATCCCAGACGAGAGGATCCCAAGAAATGTTGTCTGCAGCTTGTACAAGGTAGGTTTACGCCAGACCGCGTCTTGTCGTAACAGGCTTCGCGATGTCTCGCGGCCTGTTCCTCCAATCCGCGCCTGGCTTACCTACCTTGGCCTGCGGCGCTAGCCTGCCTTCGGCAGGCATTGGCTTGTCCATCGTCGGTGACTTCTAACTTGCATACTGGGGGGCTGCCCCCCTTTATTCTAGATAGAGTTGTTTCATCAACAGATATCACAATCTTGATCCTTGTAACTTTTTAACTTGTCCTGGCTGGGGGCCCCGCCCCCCAGACCCACCTTCCTTCAACACAGAAGTGATCTGCCTGCAGAAGACTCGATTTTTCGCCGTTTTTTAAGCGTTTTTCGGCTATAAAAACTGAACCACGTGAGCTAGGATAGTGAAATTTCGCGTGTGCCGAGCCAAGAATATACCAAATAATCCTGCAAAATCTCACCGAGATCGGCCGAGCCGTTCAGGAGGAGTAGTGTACACACACAGACACACAGACAGACAGAAAAAACTTTTCAACCCCACTGGAGTAACAGGCTTCGCTATCGCTCAGCCAAAAATAGTGCTTTGCTCACCTTAGCACCGGTTCCTAGAAACAGAGACGAGACGGTTTTCGTTTTTCTTGGCAGTTATGCTTCTGTAGTTGGTAGCATTTTTGGCTCGCAGGTGTGGAACTTTTAAACTTCCAGCTACACTGGAAAGTACTGGTAACGAGAATCAGCGGTTAGTTAGTCTAGATTGTGTGCGCCAGAGTCATCTTTTTCACCATGGTTGTGATTGTGCTGGAGGTTGAAGGGCGCCTGAAGTTGTTAAAGCTGACAACAGGTACAGGAAGCGACCTACGTGAGGAATTTGCGAGTCTTTGTGCTCGGGATCCAGTTCTCAAAGCAAGGACTGTGACCCACTATCCGACCTTCAAGAGCCTTAATATCCTCTACGACTTGGAGCTTGAGGTCGAACCAGAAGATGTCCTAGTGGATAGGCAGCTAGTGAAGGTTTTCTTCGCTCCCTATGTGAGTACAAGGGATTTTTGAAACCTTCTGTCAAATTATGAGAAACTTTCGCTCAAGTTGCCTTTTTGTGTCTTTATAGGACGTTACATCTGTTCCATCAAATGGTCTTGACGGTAACTTTGAAGAAATCCAAAATGGTAATTAAATTAATTAGGTTTATAGTATTGATCTTGTCTCAGAGTGTATCTATTAATCACAATTGCTTTATTGTTTTACTGGATAGAAACAACTGGCACAGGAAGGTAAGAAAACAACACTTTTTCGTGTAATTTAAAACAATAGATATGAGTTATTAAAAGATGACGTTCACTTTTCTAGAAGCGATCAAGATCTTGCTTTCTTGGAGTCAATGGGGGTTCATCAGCAAAGGCCCACAGATTTCAGAGGAAGAAGGCCGGATAATCCACCATCCACAAGCAATGTTTTGAGGCAGCAAACATCACAAATTCAGGGGTAAACCACTAGAGACTAATGTTAAATGCAATAAAGATTTAATAAGCTTTGATAGGAGTTCACCACAGGTTTTACAAATTTCAGAGGATCCGGGAAGAATCAGGACACTACACCATCCACGAGCAATTCTTCAAGGCCACAACCAACAAATGGTGGGAGGAATCAGGAAAGTCCACTATCCAGAAATGATGATTCTAGGCTGCCACAACGTCAGTCTCAGAGGTAAAACTAGACATAGAATAAAATGGTTTAAAAAAGAAGACAATACGCTCTTACACAGTTGAACTTAATCCTAACAATAAATTTAATTTTCTATATTAATAATCATACTTTTGCTTTTCCAAATGACTGTCAATGACTTTGCTTTTATGATATTGCAGAGGCAGAAAAAGGACAATTGAAGATCAACCCCTCTCAGACGATGAAAATGAATACCTGTCTGCCTCAATTGCTGCTTTTGCCTCAAATCGTGCAAAGCTTAAAGAACTAAACATAGGTATCTATATAGCTAGGAGTTAAACATCTAAAACATCAAATAAACCACTGTGTTAACTCTATTTTGATACATTTGCAGTTCCAGTCCCAATCCCAAAACTACGAACAAAAAAAACAACTAAAAAGTCACCAGGTAAGCATGTGTAAACCTTACATGAATGTTTGGCAGCTGTCTACAGAAATAATCTTTTGGCAATTCAATAACAGATTTTATCATTTAACAGCAGTTTCAGGCAAGGAGAATAGGAGAGAAACATTACCTCGGGCAGTCAAATCAAGGAAGTCTGATGCACCTCCAGGTGAGATTTCAATTATAAAATATGTATGCATAACAGAGTCAATACTTAAAAAATTTTTAGACAGTATTTTAGTTGAGGCCAAATTAATGAGAGAAAAAAGTTTAATTGTTCTATGAAATGCGAACAGTTAATATTCCAAATGACTGATTTTGATCTCTCACAGATTATGAATTGGAACCTTTGGAATCCGAATCTAACAAACCACCAGGAGAAGAGCCCGAGGTCTTGGGCGAGGAGCAAGCTGAACAGCCCCTTGATTTGGATAAGCAGCATCAAGAGCATCAAAAGGTAAGTTAATCAAAAGTTTAAGTACACTTTCAGAAGCACATCATTTTGGCATGTAAAAATAATTCACTGAATTTAAAGGTTTCCACAACCAAGAGGCGAAAACCACAGATTGTAAGTTTTTAATGCATAATCCTTACTATCAATTTATCAAAATATGAAGCTTTAGTTGACTGCTTGATTTCTATCATTTCAGACAAGAAGACGGATTGGACAAAAAATAACTCCATTTGTCCCTCTTCCTCCATTCCCGAAAAGCCTGCAACAAAGCATCAACAAGGGATTAGTCTATGTTCATCAAAGACACACTCAAAAGATAAATGACTTTCTGAAGGCCCACATTTTAAACATCACCAAAGGGCTCTACATTACTAAACGTGAATACCAAGTTCTGAGGACACAAGTAGTTAATCGTTTGAAATCAATGAATGCTCCTCACATTCCTTTGTATAAGGCAAGTACTTTACAGAAATATTTAATCTTTATTTTATTATAAATTATTTAGTATGAAGACCTTATCAGCAAGACTGTACTCACTCGAATTTTATTGATTTCACTTGCAGGCGCAGCTTGTTCGCAAACTTAGTGCCAGCATTCGCAATGAAAGAAATTACTGGGAAAATAAAGTTCCAAAGAAACTAGCACTGGCTGCTGAGAAAGGAGCAACAACAGCTGAAACAACAGAATCAAGCACAGATGACATTCGGTTAGTTTGTGAAGTACCTCAGGCTAAAGGTGAAATGTTAGGTTGACTCTCACCTGAGTGCTTGTTTATTTCCAGAACACTAAGTGCAGAAGAAGCAGACGAAATTTTGAGGAAGCCCGTAATTAACAAGCTGACAGTTAAGATGGCGCTAGATATTTGCTCTGAAGCAAGAGCAAACTTTGCCCGCAGCCACTCTGCTTGGGATATGATTGAAATGTACCCCTTCCTCAAGGATACTGATCTGGTAAGAAAATAGACAGGAAATTAGACAATTTAATCAAGGGAAGACCTGAATTTACTTATTGTAAGAAATGGTCACCTTTGTTTTGTTGCAGCTCTTGTATGATTACTCAACTAGAGTGCCATTGTTGCTAACATTGATTGAGCAAAATTTTAATGAGAGTATATGGCCACTCAGCATTATCTTCAAAGAAGATGAGCCCACAGACGAGCTACAAAAAATTAAACTTGTCATTGGTATTAATGACTATTTTACTGATGAAAAGGATGATCACTTTCCTTGCATACAACTATGGGATGTGAGTATACACTGATTCCTTAAAAAAAAAAGCACGAGAAAATTGTTAAAAATCATTAGGGATAGAAAATTTAATTTAACTTGTAATTGCTGTCATACCTTTTCTTGATGCAGGCACAAAACAATTCTGCCACTCCACTGAACAACATCCCACAGACTCAGGCACCAGCAGTTGTTGTGGCTGTGAATGACAAAGAGATTATGAGTGCATCAGTGGTGTTTGATGGCGGCTGCCTTTATTCTCATAAAAGGCCCACAGCATTTCAGAGCGTTGCTCTTCTCCTCGCAGGTTACTTAGTCTTTCAAGTTGCTTACCCTGAGCTTTACAAGAAGCAGTTGTATACATTGCAATACATTCTTCATGGACAAACAAGGTGCATTGATGCAAGTGTCAGAAGCTTCTTCAGAACTTACAAGCTGGCTAAGAAGGCAAATAAAAACAAAGAGTAAAATTGAGGTAAATCTGAAAAAAAAAAAGATAACAAGAAAACATTACTAAAATTGGAAATGTTACTTAATGCTTTTCTTTATTTTCAGGATTAGTAATTCTACATACCTTCAGACAGAAGCAATGTCAGCTTCATTTAAACATCAAGTGTAAAGTGATGAAACCAATTAATCATTGTTATTGTTAAATCAAACAGTTTCTGCAGGCAGCAATTGTGTTGAGCAAAGTATTTAATTAGTGTTTTCTTCTTAAAAGAAAAATTCAATATTTTATTCATGTTTTCTTCTTGAAAGACAAATTTAATATTTTATTTACTGTTTCAAGTTTAATTTTATATTCTTCTAATTAGGGGCTTTTCATAGACATAAAATGAAAATGACCTGCAAATAAAATTATAATCATTACATAAAAGCTGTCTGTTCTGTTTTGTTATCAAACACACCCAACTCAAAATTGAACAAACCTTACCTCATCAAATAAAAACTAGAAGACTCAATAACTCTCAAGAGGTTTCTGAGGAAAGAGGTATGCTTTCAGGCCACGACGGAATCCAAAACTAAACCTAAGGATTGGAAACTTGTATTGAAGTTCGGAGAAGGTGATGACACTATTCTCTTGACTGCATGACAAAATTTCAAATGCATTGTAAGGAGGGGTCCACTTTGTTGAGAGAATATTGTATGTGAACATGATGGTATCATCTTCCAACACATAAATGTTACAAATTCTTCCAAATCGATTGTCTTCTTTACCAATCAAGAAGACTACACCCTCATGCCATTTGCTGCCTCGGTGAGACATTTCCCTCACTTTCCTTATCTCACTTGATTCTTGAAGAACGGATGGGAAGTGGGCTAGAATACTTGCTTTTTCTGGCAAAGTTGAAACCACGACCTTCTCAGGACTTGACAGCTTGTCTCCACTGTCAAGGTAGTTTCCCTTTTCTTTACCTTGTTTAATCTTGTAATTTCTAACACTTAGATGTCTCTTGGCTGCAGTGCGAGCAGGGTTCTTCATGGTACGCACAACAGGGAAGATACCGGTGAAGTCTGAGTGCATTGCTTCAAAGCGAAAGCACCAATGCTGTCGAAGAGGCCCCAGTAATCTCAATTGGGAAATTAAATGGATGAGAACATGCAATTTCAAAGACCTATGTCTTGGATACAATTTTTTAAACAGTTTTCCAAACTCTTCAATTAAGTTCTCAAGTTCCGTGATCTCAGCATCAGTAAACACAAATGCCATACTATTATCAACAAGCCGGTTGCACTTCAAAATTAGTTCCAACTTTTCATCAGGCAATCTGTTGTGAACAACAAAGGGAAGTACTCTCATCAGGACCAGCATTTGAGCAGCACTTTGCTTAAGCTTACTTCCAGTGACATGACCCTTCTCAATAGGTGATGGTTTGTTGACCTGCATATGACCAAAGTTACATAAGGACTCAAACACATGATTCAGTTCATCAAAGGTCAGAATTGGTTTGGCTCTGGGGGCTGGAGGTAAGCACAAATCTTTGAGAAGCAGCCGGCAGACATTTTCCACAACGCCTTCATTCAAAACATGCATGATGTCCTGCGGAAGGCATTTTGTGACATCGAAATAAGGAGCTTCAGATAGTATACTTGGCCCGTTAACTCCATATGTTTTAGATGCATCTCTGAGGTCTGCCATATCAAAGACTTCTTCTTCTCCTTCTTCAGAATCAATTTCAAAATCATTTCCTCCTTCTTTACCACAAATGTTGATGACTTGCAGCGGATCACCTTGATTTTTGTTCTTCCAAGCCATGACCTTCCTCACATGTTCGTTATGGTCCACCAACTTCCGCAGAAGGGGTTTAGACTCTCTGAAATGATCACACATCTCTGAAGAATGAACCATGCAGTTCCGGCAAGGATGATTAGCACTATGGGTCTCTTTAAACCCGCCAAGATTTGCTGCTGCGGGGTTATCAAGACAACCAAATAACAACACTCCATAAAATCTTCTTTTAGTCCCATTGATAATTAGATCAACACCTTCAGTTCCAAGTCTTTTCATGTCTGTAATAAAGTCCTTGAACATAAAATCATTGCCAAATTCCTTGGCCACTTTTGCTTTAGCGATAGCCAGTAGGTTTATGGCTTTAAGTGAAGAGCGTAGGTGGGGATATATGTTTCCCAGAACCCAATATGCTAGTCTTAAATTATTTTTGTTGGCTTTTGACTTCAGAGCATCACATGGGTCTGCATCATCCATATGGATAAAGAAGGCCAGAGTCTGAGGACCATGTTCCAACACAACAGGATGGTACCGGTAAAACAGTCCATCCATAACAGTTTTGTAAATTCCATTCTCATGCGGCAAAGGGTTGTCAATGCATTTGAGAACATCAGGACAGTTCAATAACTGTTCAAGTTGAGGAAGGAAGTTCACAGCATACCCAAATTTATATGGAACTAATTTTGGTTGACCTTTCCTGTAAACAGTTTTTCTTGCAAGCACAACACTCTCATTCCAGGAACGCGACATCACGTTGAAACGAACGTGACAAAGTGTCACGTTCGTTTGAGCATTGTGTCACGTTCGTTTGAATGTGAACGAGCTGGTTTTCGGCCAATTCACACCCAAACGAATGTGACACAATGCTCAAACGAACGTGACAGTTTGTCACGTTCGTTTCAACGTGATGTCACGTTCCTAGAATGGGCGTGAAGTTGTTTCAAAACAACTTTTTTGCCCCCACTTGTTTCCCTTAGGTAAGATTCGACTTCAGCTTCTGTCTGTAACCCTTGGAACACAGACTGGTCTCGAAAACTATCAAGAACTGAAGTAATCGCATTCACAGATATGTATCCATCAAGACATGATAGTTTCTTGTAGAACAGATCCTATGAAAACAAAATCCAAATGTTAGCAAACACAAAAAACAACAACAGATAACCTCATTTTGAAACAGTTACCTTGAGAACGTCCAGGTAAATTTGGATCATCCCATCAATTCCACTCACAAGACAGTCAATCGCCCTTTGACTAGTTTTACAAACACCTTTGATTTCCGCTAACAAATTAGCTGCTGCTGTTTGCAGCCGCAGACCGGCATCGTCTGTTAAACAATGAAAGAATGCACAAGACGAGAAGTAAGTACAAGTCTAAAAACTAACCACCGAAATTATGAATCAAACAAATAATACCTGCCATGGTGGCTGCTCATGAAAATAACGTACGAATCCAAATAATCTACCAAGTAATGAGCCATTCAGGAGAAGACTCGAACAAAAACGCTCGTAACGCTCGCTCACGGGGCTCACAACTCACGCCTCCCCGGAGACCAACAACAACTATCATCCAACAGGTTTCTGCCCGGTGACGCGACGCACAGTGCAAACTTCGGGCAGAATACAACACTGGAACAGAGAGCCCCTATTCTTCCATATTGAGTGAACCGGTACACAGGAGAGCAAAGGACTATTTTACAAGCTGCAGACAACATTTCTTGGGATCCTCTCGTCTGGGATTCAGTTCCAGAAAGAAATGTGAAGCCGTCGGACATATTGTGTGTTTAGGTTGGCAGTTCTGTAAAACAAATGCCATCTGGCAGCGGCAGCAGACGACACAACAAAATACAAATCTAACATGGCAGCTAAAAAGCCGAGTGACGATGCGGAATGTAATGTTCTAATTCATTGTAGTGTCAACCTGTGTTGGTTTTATGGTGTGACAAGCCATTCTTTGAAGACTGCGAGAATGGGGCAGCCGGAGGCAGCAAGGAATAGTTTGGTCTTGAGGTGGTGGACGCATCCTCGAGTTCCAATGTTCCTGGACACTGGAGCCCAGGAGGGACAAAGGAGGATGCTGCAGTGAGGTAAGACAGGCAGGACTGACAGCTGTCTCCATAACCAACTCTTTACTGATGTTTTGCATTGTGAGATGTGCTACTTGAAGCAAGCAGCAGTGCTCCCCATTTTCTTTTGACTGAAGCTTGACAGACTGCACTTGCAGCGGTAATGAAAAAGAGGATTTGATAAGAACTCGGTGACTCGGTAACACAAATCAAATCTCTTTCCTGACTGAGATCAATATTTTAATTCTTATCGCTTAGGTCTGCAGAACTGTAAGCTTTCAAGTTATTATTAGTGGAATACTTGCTCAACCAAATACTGCTGTCTGTTGCGTTCTTGTCAGGCACGCAGAAGTTTGATGCGTGCCTGACAGGCACGCTGAAGTTTGATGCGTGCTTGCCAGGCACGCAGAAAACTTCTGCGTGCCTGGCAGGCACGCTGAAGTTTTCTGCGTGCTTGGTGGTTGACTCCAGGAAGTGCGTGCTTGGCACACACTTGGATTTGCAGAGCATCTAGTAATCGATTCTGAGTCACTGCAGTTCATACGGACGGGACGAGTGCCCTACAGTGCCCTGAGTACCGATAATTTGCATTTTTAGTAAAACATGTGTTTTTGGCGTCCAAATCCTAACGTGTGAACAGATCCCGGAGTACCCCGTGCGCTTAAAACGGGAAAGGGGCCCTTAGAGAAGATGATTCGAGGTATGGTTCGGGTACGGTGACGTCAGGATGGCCGTATCAAACCCTGAAGGCAATTTTTGCATTTTGTAAAAAACGAAAAAAAATTGTAATTTTGTAATTTTCTTCCATCGGTCCCCTACTGCTCGGAGAGGGTCCCGGTGGTCTTAAACTGATAAAGCATGATCAGACGTTTCCATTTCCGTCTCGCAAACATCATTTGGACATCTGGTTCAGTTTCTATGGATGTTTTTAGAAAAACCCGTACACTGATTTTTTAAGTGTAATAATGAACTAATTTAAAAAGCAATAACATTTTTATTGCATTAGTAGCGCCATGAAAAAGTTATTGCATTATAAGTGCAATAATTATTGTATTGCATTGGCGCATTTATCGCATTATTAGCGTAGTTATCATTTTATGGCAGCAAAACTGTGATAATCTGGGCCCAGATCGGCCAAAACCTAAGGGACTTATTGCATTTTTAATGCGATAATATTTTTATTGCTGCCACAGATGCGATAATTTGAAGGAATCACACTTGCCTTTTTATTGCAGCAAATTGTATGAAACTTATCACATTAGAAATACCAGTGTAAAAGTCGAATTTTCGGATTTTCAACGTCGATGCGCGAGGGTCAAGCTTTAAGTTACAGACCTGCCCCAGATCGCGTTGAGTTTGTAATGCCATGAAGTAACTTTGGCGCGCTATTACGTTTGCGATATCGAAAAATCGTGTTTCACGGCCCACCCTAAGCTGGGCTATAAGAGTCCCACCGCATCGTGTGGATCGCCAGGCAAGGACCTCTGCTCCTGTTGAAACGACAAACCCGTGTCACCAACTGTGCTGGCCGTCGCATCAGTGTCTCCCCATGGTACGTGCGTCATTTACAGTGAGGCAAAATGCTTCGAAAAATTCTGTTGACAGCTTGTCATAATCCTCCGTATCCCTCTCGTTGTGTTTCTCCGTCGCCCTCTAACATTATTCTCCGGAGGACGTCACAGTTTTCTCCGTAGGGCTATACAGTCCTCCAGAAAACTGTATGACCCAACAAAGAATATACTGTGAGGTCCCACGGAGAATATTGATAAGAAGCCTACGGAGAACCTTGGCAAAAATCAACATAATTTTCCGTACCTTTTGGACACAGTGTGGGACTTACGCTCATTCTTGAAAAATGTTATTATAATGGATTTTGCGACTCAGGATGGCTGTGTACTGCTCGAGTAGAACTCTTGTGTAAAAATCCTAAGGCTATGCGGCCTCTACACTGGTATTTCTAATGTGATAAGTTTCATACAATTTGCTGCGATAAAAAGGCTAGTGTGATTCCCTCAAATTATCGCATCTGTGGCAGCCATAAAAAATTATCGCAATAAAATTGCAATAAGTCCCTTAGGTTTCGGCCGGTCTAGGCCCAGATTATCACAGTTTTGGTGTGATAAAATGATAACTACACAAATAATGCGATAAATGCGCTAATGCAATACAATAATTATTGCACTTTTAATGCAATAACTTTTTCATGGCGCTACTAATGCAATAAAAATGTTATTGCTTTTTAAATAAGTTCATTATTACATTCGGAAAATCAGTGTATCAGCCGTGCCTTAAGAATTCAAGTGTCAGACCATGGTTTGAGATTGTCGTTTTAATGCTATAACTTGTTTATGGCGCTAGACATGCGATAAAAATAAAATTGCTTCGCTTGTCTCGATGTTAACACATGGAAATTCAGTGACGCTCCTCGGTAGAAGATTGTCCAGCGAACACGCAGTCAACACAATTGGTGTTGCGTTATTTCTGTTCCAGATGTAGACAAACCCGCATCTAGTCTCCAAACACACCGCTTGGCCATCACGCCACTGCGAGTTGGTTCCAAGAGATTCTTCCTGCAGACCATAAAGGTGCACTGTTAAAAAAATTCTTAAATTTAATACATAATGTCATCTTAATTTTAAGAACCTTTTGAAAGGATATGAAAACTCATAAAGGTTGGTGAAGTTTAAGAAAATTTCTTACATTGACCAAAACATTTCTGACAAGTAATGAAAATATTGGTAACTTTCAGAAACTTTATTAAAATTGAAAAACGGGTTCATAAAATTTGAGATTGTCTACCAAATGTAATAATTTGTTTCTTAAAATTCAAAATTACTATGACTTTTTATATTTGATTCTCATCCTGCCACTTAAAATTGTGATCATTGGACGCTTCACTACCAGTGTACGTAAAGAACAAATTTGTATGATCTTGGTCATGTGAAGTGGTGTTTGGAGGCCCTGGGATGAGCGCTTCCGCTGCCTAGCGGAGTCTCCGCCGAGAGGCTTGGAGTCATCAACATCCTAGGGCCCGCCTCGCAGAGCTCACTCGTGGCGCAGTTGGTAGCGTCGCGGTGCAGAAATCCGGAATTCCGGGTTCGAGACCGAGTTTCAACCACGCTTCCAATCAACTTCGGCAGTGAAATCGACTACTACCATACAACGAGTAACTCATAACGTACATGAGGTGTTCAATTTTTCCCTTCTCTACATTAAATTCTTCTTAAATGCAAAACCTACTTTTAAGAAACAGATTATTACTTTTCAAATTTGGTTCTTACTTTTAAGAAGAAAAAGTTTATTACTTTTACTAGCAAAAAGTCTTTGTAAACTGCTTCATAAAAAAGTTTCTTAAAATTAAGATGGATTTTTTTAACAGTGTGGGTCCAGCACTCTGGTTGAAAACCGTCCTCATTGTTGCAAAAAAGCCCTTTTTACGTCATTTATCGAGTCTTTTGTCCCGCCATGCATACGTTTCCGTTTTCCATTGGCAATGTCTATTTAAGTCAATAAATGGCGTGAAGATTATTAAGGTCTTGTAGATATGGAAAGTTTCCAAAATTTGTGGCTATGTTTTAAATTTGGGGTCGGTTAATTTTTTGACGTGAAAGTGAGTCATTAAATGGTGTGCATGGCATTACAATTAAAAGGCCTTTTTTGTTTGCAGTCAAACTGGTACCGTGCCAATGAGTTTTGCAACTACCAGAATATGCGCCTCGCCACCATTAGCAGTCAAGAGGAGAACGACAAAGTAGCCATGTACATCAAGAACAGCGGTAAGTCAATCGGCACCTCCGCTCATGGTTGCCACGCGCATTTGATTCCTGTGTACGTGCTCTCACCTGATGCAGCACACCCTGCTTTTCATACAGATTTGTATGTGATTTTGAACAATTTTGTGCAATCTGGTCAGCGTTGCACAGTTTCAAACAAATTTGGTCGAGAGGTCTCATTCCAGGAACGCGCAATCACGTTGAAATGAACGTGACAAAATGTCACGTTCGTTTGAGCATTGTGTCACATTCGTTTGGGTGTGAATTGGCCAAAAATCAGCTTGTTCACATTCAAACGAATGTGACACAATGCTCAAAGGAGCGTGGCATTCTGTCACGTTCGTTTCAACGTGCTGTCGCGTTCCTGGAATGAGGGTGCAGGGACGCGCTTTTTATTTTCAGACTGCATTTTGAGTGGCTTGGTCAATTGATATCGTCAAAGAATAAGGCCTCTTGCATTTCTCTGGCGTATAAAGTATTAACCAAACCCGACCAAACCTCTTCCTCTATGAAAATTGAAGTTATGGCAGGATGCCGCTTTGCGTGTTTTCTACCTCATTTACTTGTGTCCATCTCTCAAACATCCGACCCTCTTTTCAGGTTTGGGCGGTGAATATTTCTGGATAGGGGCCTCTGATCTGGCTCAGCAAGGCAAGTACGTCTGGATGTCGACGGGTGAGCCCGTGGTGTACAGCAACTGGTTGGCAGGAGAGCCGAATCACCTGACGGAAAACGGCGAAGTCGAACACTGCGTTCATTTGTGGGAGCAGAGCCATGGCTTTACTTGGAACGACAAGATTTGCTCGACCTTATTTAACTTCATTTGTGAGATGTGATTAAATACCTAGCATTTTCTATGACAGCTTTCACATTTTATTTGTTTTGGGTTAGCCTGAGTCAAGTGTCATTAAACACCCACCTTTTTCTGCGACTGCTTCATTCGCGGCTCTATTTGTGGTCTTTATTTCGGGAGACTTACATACGAGACACCTGGTCCCACTTGGCTCTGAAAAACATATCTATCATCTCTATCAATCAAGAACCTAAATAGCCCCAATCTGACTGACTGACTCACTCATAGAAATGTTTGGGGTCAAGGAGTGGTCGTAGAGACTTGCGGTTTTATCCATTCGATTCCAAATTTTATGGGAAAATGGAAAAAAATCCCAAAAGTTGAAAATTCTTCACCGTTTCCGAGCAGACCTACTCAATCTTCAAAACAGGGGACCGACCGACTGAAAATTTTTATTCGCCCTATCGGTAGGTCTGCTCGAGACATTTCTGAAACTGTGCCACAATCGGGTCCCCATCACCGGCAATGGGATAAAAACGATGAAATATATTGGGTCTAATAAAACGGCCGGAAAAATATGTAGAAATCAGAAATGAAAGACGAAAGAGGCTTTGTCTCTAAGAGGTATAGTTAAAAAATCATCGCCATCAAAAGAGGGGGGAAACCCCTCTAAAAAAGGGTACAGGGACGAGACTGCCCCCTTAATAGAAGTTCCTTAAGAAGCTGAATAGGACAAGACAAAATTGACAAAGTTTTAAATACAAATAACAATGTTTGTACGCTTGCGCACAAAAGTCAATTTGTTATGCGCAAAAAAATCACACAACGTGAATACGTCATTAACAATAAACAATAACAGAAAAAGTAGCAATATACATCGGCAACTTTGGCCCGTCCCGTACATTTAGAAATGTGTGAATTTCGCTAATGTTTAACCCTAACGGGATTGGAACCTAAGTCTGGCGTCCAAATTTGTGTTTTTTTCGTCATCAGCACCCTCAAAAACATCAGAAACAATGCAAAAACTCGAGTAAAAAGAATGTTTAAAATATACCCCACTGGGATTTGAACCCGGGTCCAAACTTCTCCGATTCACTTGAAACTGGCACCGTTGGTTTTTTTCTCGTCGCCCTGATTCCAAAAATACCCCTATATGCCCTGCTAGCTGTATCCGTTGCCGAAATCCCCTTCGACCCCATGTAGACCATGATGCACCTGCAGCAGCGCCCCCGGGGCTCGGATCGGATTTGCTGCACGGCAAAACCAACGTCCGGGTTTCCCAGGCGCACCCTGAAAAAACAGGGCATTTTTCCAGGGTGCGCCTGGGAAACCCGGACGTTGGTTTTGCCGTGTGCCACCGGGCGGTTCTTAGGGTCACCCAAGGAGGCTGCATACCAAATTTGGTCAAGATCGGACCGCGGGAAGTCCTCGGACGGACGAACGGACGGACGCACAGCAGCATACTATATGCCCGTCCCTCCGTCATTTTTTTTTTACAAAAAGTAAACAGGACGGGCCAACTCTTACCTAGTCAAACATTGTCAATTTTGTCTTGTCCTATTCAGCTTCTTCTTAAGGAACTTCTATTAAAGCGCAGAAACGGTCCGATTGAAGGATGATAGAGTGTATTTTGTGAGGAAGTATTTGAAAGGCCCTCACCACGGTGCGGAGATTTTCAGTGCCTTCTAATTTCAGGACCAGCGTCCGCAATTGCACGCAACACCGTAGGATAGCAAGCGCGTAATCTAGGATGACGCTCTCACCAAGGTTTACGCAAACCTCTATAACTCAGAAATTAATAGGAGTTGGGGGCCTCCAACCTTTGGGAGGGAGAAAACCTCCTATCCTTGCACTCGACCGTGCAAGCTGCAGCTCCCCGAGGAATTGTCAACCTAGCTTGTTAACTGTAAGCTGTATCATGCTTGCCAAAAACTACACGCCAGGTGGCCTTAACCTGCAAGCACACTGTTGCTCCGCTTTACATGCACAGGGTAGGGGACTTCAGCAACAGTGAACATGCCAGGTTGGCTCCAGGTGGAGGCACTTGAGTTCGTAGAGTGTATACGAAGACGAAGTGGTTCGCGCCAAGTAGTGAGAGACTATCCCTCACTTGATTGGCGGTAGTTTTTTTTATTTCACCTAAACCTTAGGTTCAATACAATTCCATCATATTACCTCGAGTATCTTCATTTTGAGACTAAAAACGTTCCCGCAAGCACTGTGGTTAAAAGTACGGAAAATACGGGTCATTATTTTGCTAAGATTCTCCGTGGCTCTCTTGTCAATATCCTCCGTAGGATCTGACAGCATTCTGCGTAGGACCGCACAGTGTTCTCCACAGGACCTTACAGTTTTCTGGAAGACTATATAGTCCCACGAAGAATACTGCAAGGACCTACGGAGAATTACCAAAAGTTGTTTACAGAATTTTCCATACCTTTTTGCCACAGTGCTGATCAATGGATTTGTGATTTTTTCCATACCAATGGTCTTCATGAAATGGCTAATAGTGTATAAAAACTTTATTTGTCAATACTCGAGGTTTTTTTAATATCTTATGGAACAGGTACCGTTACACACACTTTTTTCGCCCCAGGATCAGACTCTGTCCTTGACAGTGAAAGCAAGTGGGTCAGTGAAGCTAAACAGTATGCGGAACGTAGCCTTGGCAGGAGGTCGATTCCACTCCATGGAGAAGTTCCGGAACACCTGCAAGCAACACAAACGTCATAATGCGACCCTAAAATGATGACTCTAGACCGTCGAGAGACCTGAAGCTGCATTCGGAACGCCGGACTCGCGCTCCGGCCTCCATGCTCTACAAATCAAAGAGTGTACATGGTACGCTCTAACTGGAGCATGCCTGCAAGCACGCTCTAACTAGCGCATGCCTGCCAGGCATGCACTAACTAGTGCATACATGCCATGTACACGCTAACTGGAGCATACATTTACTGCATAAGGGATAGGGAGTTTTCTGCATCAGGAAGCGTGTACATGGCATGTATGCTCTAGTTAGTGCATGCTTGGCAGGCATGCGCTAGCCAGAGCGTGCTTGCAGGCATGCACCAGTTAGAGCATACTATGTACACTCTTTGATTTGTAGAGTGCACTCTTGAGGGCGACGAGGGCCCTTGCAGCTTGTATTTTTAGCAATAAAACCTTCTTAAATAGGAAACTACAGTGTGTGAAACTTCAGCAGATCTGAAGCAATGCAATTAAAAGAAGCTGCAGCCATGCAAAGGAATGAGTAAGAATTACTCTGGAAACTCGAGTGAGTACACATAGCTTGCTTCAAGTTGCATCATGTCAGGAGCATACCTAGCAAACGCGCCGCTCCACGCTGGTGCTTTTAGAAAATAAAACCGTGTCCCACAGTTGCAAGTATGGGAAAAACTCGTTATGCGTGAGACATCTGCCCCACACTTAGATTTGCAGTGTAGAGATCAGCGACTTTACCTTTGCCACGACGGTCTCGATCTCCAGGTCGGCGAACCGGCGCCCGACGCACATTCGCGGCCCGAAGCCGAACGGCAAGAAGGCGAAGGGGTGGGTCCCCTTGATGTCGTCGGCGCCGGGAAGCCACCGCTCCGGAAGGAACTCTAGGGCCCTCGGGAAGTAGGCCTCGTTGGACGTCATTTCACGCGTGCTCATGCTCACCAGAGTCTGCAACAAGCAACGTAACAAGATTCATGGTGGTGGACTCCAGCACCAGAGACTGACGCAACCGAGGGGGTAAACACCCCAAGAAATCGTGTACAGCACACTAAATGTTATGTCTAATTGTGTGCGAGACATCACAGTTTTTTGTGCACACGAAATTTTCGTACAATTTTCGTACGAAAAACTGCACATTTTTCGCCTTTTTTGTACAAAATTGTACAAAATTTTGTACAAACCGAAAAGTTTGTGTACACAAAAAACAGTGATGTCTTGTACAAAACCTGTACAAAAACATATAGTGTGAGAGTACTCGGTATTACGCGGTATACACCGTTAAAAATCCACTGTAATATTACAACACAATCACCTACAGTAATGCTGTTATGAAACAACAGTATTGTTTTGTGTCTGAACGGGAAACCCATCCAGAAACAGCACTTTCGTTTCATAACAATTTCCTTGTCAAGTAACAACAATGAAATCGTGATTCAAAATAGTTGTGTTGTCGTTGAACAGGTTTCATGTTTAGAAACAGCCTTTTGCAATCTTAAAACATATATTGTTGTCAGGTTACAAGGGTCTTGTTTAATAACAGCACGATGAAATCAACAAAAATGTTGGGAAGACATCGTCGAAGACTCCAAAGAAGTATTGTTTTATTACAATCGAACTGTCAGAAAACAGCACCGAGGGCTACAACATGCTTGTAATAAAACAAGTCGTGCTGCTATCAAACTTAACAGCATAAGTGCTGTTAATTTACAGCACTTTTTTTAACAGTGTAGTACAAGGGTTTTCTTTGTTTCTTAACTAAAAATGTTTTAAAGGTTCGTATAACGATTATTTATCGCTTCTCATTATGCTTCGGCCGGATTCACTGTAACGTAGCACAAATTTCACTTCACGACTTTTACAATGTTGCGGCCGAGGGGGTAATCACTCGTGTAATACCCTGTACACACGTGTATTACGCGTAATACACGTAATTGTAATACCATTTTTGTGCCAAATATGCCAAATTTTGGCATTTTAATGCCGTAATACACGTGTTCGCGTTACACTGTTAAAAAAAGTGCTGTAAATTAACAGCACTTATGCTGTTAAGTTTGATAGCAGCACGACTTGTTTTATTACAAACATGTTGTAGCCCTCGGTGCTGTTTTCTGACAGTCCGATTGTAATAAAACAATACTTCTTAGGAGTCTTCGACGATGTCTTCCCAACATTTGTGTTGATTTCATCGTGCTGTTATTAAACAAGACACTTGTAACCTGACAACAAAATATGTTTTTAGATTGCAAAAGGCTGTTTCTAAACATGAAACCTGTTCAACGACAACACAACTATTTTGAATCACGATTTCATTGTTGTTACTTGACAAGGAAATTGTTATGAAACGAAAGTGCTGTTTCTGGATGGGTTTCCTGTTCAGACACGAAACAATACTGCTGTTTTTTAACAGCATTACTGTAGGTGATTGTCTTGTAATATTACAGTGGATTTTTTACAGTGTACGAGGAAAATACTCCTTTGTGGCTTGCGCCATTTCCGCAAAGGTATTTGGAAATAAGGCAATGAAAACAGTTTGAAGACGTTACTTTTTATGATTTGCATTGTACTTACTCCTTTCGGCACCTGGTATCCTCCAATAACCAAGTCCCTGATTGTGGTGCGCGCATTGCCAACTAAGATGGGCATCACCCTCATGGATTCCTTGATACAAGCTCGCAGGTACCTGCACGAAGAGAAAGATGATGTGAGATGGTTAAGTTGCAGAAATAACCTTTTTATCTTTTTTTTTTCTCAAGAGAATAAGTTTTTAAAATGTCGTAGATTCTGTCATGCTCCCTGAGATGTTCCACTGCACTTTTAATGTCGATGTAAACGTTGGGGTTAACAGAAAAATTTGCATAGAATTTTAGTTTTAGCTTTGAAAGAAGATAACGGGAAAGAAGACAGGCCCAAGTGGATTGATGTCATCAGTTCTATCTTTTACTGTGAGCGGTTGTAAGGGTGGAGCGGGGCACAGACAGATTTCTTCACCCTCATTGTTTTTGTACAAATTTTGTACGAGACATCACAAGTTTTTTGTGCACATGAACTTTTCGTACAAATTTGTGCAAAATTTAGTGCAATTTTGGACAAAACTGGCGAAAAATGTGCAATTTTTCGTTCGAAAATTGTAAGAAAATTTCGTGTGCACAAAGAACTGTGATGTCTCGCACAAAATTGCACCTAACATTTAGTGTGTTCTTCCGTGCGAGCAGACGCGCTCCTCATCAATTTTACCAGCATCCATCAATCGACTTCAACAGACAACTAGCTAGTTCCTAATCCCAACTTGTTGAAACATACCTCATGTCTTCAAGTTGTTGCTTGGTTAGGGGCTTAGAGGGATCGGGAATCACCCTGTCCAATTCTTCGTGCAGCTTCTGCTGCTTGTCTGGGTTGGTCGCTAATTGATACATTACAGTCGCCACAACCGTCCCTGTCTAAAGAGAGAGCCAGCATTATTTCACTGGGCATTCCATTTGGATCTGTTTCGGAAGCCGTGCAAGAGTTTGGAAGAGAGACAGATTAAGCACATCAAAATACAGGACTTCATTAAGGTCTGGGCAGGAGCATGTGAAAACGTGTTCTCTTATTGGATTTAATACAGTTTAATGAGAACCGCTCCAGTGTGCAATCCCGTTTACTTTGAGTTAAGTTATAAAACTTCAACCGTTGCCGCATACAGGAAAGCTGCACAAAAATCGGCGTCCTTTAGAAAACGCGCTTTCTGCATCGCCTCCATACAGACTGTTTCAGGCGAATGCAATGTGATACATGATAATTTCGCTGCATTTTAGGTTTTCTCTTACTGGGCGAGAATACTCTGAAGTTTGGAGAAACATCGCCTTCCCCGCTGTCGTGAGTGCGAGGATAAAATATTGTGCATGAAAACTTTAATTGGGACAAGATGTTTCAAAAACGATTGACAATGATTGTCGAACTCACAGTGTCGATGCCCGCGAGCAGCATATCTAGAGCCATGGTCACCGCTCTTTGAGGGTCTTCAGTTCGGATCAGCAGATTTTCCAACACACTGAAGTTTCGCTCCTCATTTGGTGGGAGCTGCTTCAGTCGCTCCATGGCCAAGTTGACGTACTTCGCTGACACACTGTGGAGAAGCATTACCATTGAGTTACAGATCAATTAAACGATGTTTCTTCGTGAGGAATTCAGGACGATTCTTCTTGCACTGAAATTAAAAGGTGAGACACCTTACCAAATTTTCAGCGATACTATAACACCGTTAAAAATCCACTGTAATTTTACAACACAATCACCTACAGTAATGCTGTTATGAAACAACAGTATTGTTTTGTGTCTGAACGGGAAACCCATCCAGAAACAGCACTTTCGTTTCATAACAATTTTCCTTGTCAAGTAACAACAAAGTAATCGTCATCAAAATAGTTGTGTTTCGTGAACAGGTTTCATGTTTAGAAACAGCCTTTTGCAATCTAAAAAACATATTTTGTTGTCAGGTTACAAGTGTCTTGTTTAATAACACACGATGAAATCAACACAAATTTGGGAAGACATCGTCGAAGACTCCTAAGAAGTATTTTTTTACAATCGGACTGTCAGAAAACAGCACCGAGGGCTACAACATGTTTGTAATAAAACAAGTCGTGCTGCTATCAAACTTAACAGCATAAGTGCTGTTAATTTACAGCACTTTTTTTAACAGTGAAGTATTACCGAAAAAAGGTCGTACACGAATGTATTACCGAAAATAGGTCGTACAAAAATGTATCAACGAAAAAGGCCGTTAACGAATGTACCACCGAAGGAAGGTCAGACATCAGCGAGACGGGCCCTGGCTTCCCTGGGGCGGTATCACCCTTTAGACCTTTTATCAGTGATACATTCGTGCACACTAAATGTTATGTACGAGACATCACAGTTTTTCGTGCACACGGAATTTTCGTACAATTCTCGTAGGGAAAACTGCACATTTTTCGCCATTTTGGTTCAAAATTGTAAAAAAAATTGTACAAAATTGTATGAAAAGTTTGTGTGCACAAAAAAACTGTGACATCTCGTACAAAATTTGTACAAAAATATTAAGTGTGTGTACCACTTTGTTTTGGTGATGCATTTTAGCCTCACCCTTTTTTTTGGTGAGACAGTTTTGCCTCACCACTAACAGAGTGAGCTGTATCACTTATTGATTCTAAGTGTGAATTTACGTAAGTTTTTATAGTGACATTATTACCAGAGGTAGCCTTATAATGTAATTACAACTTTTTTTTCTTTTCACAGTGTAACGCTTGGAAGCGGTTGAAGAATGACCTGCAGGCGAACCAGTGGCTTGCTGGCACTCACCCGGTGACGAAGTTCATGGCTGTGACGAACCGTCGGTACGCTGGAGTTGAGACAAACTTCCATGGAGACGGCTTGAAATCAAGCTGATACATGCTGTCGAACACGACGTGAACGGCCTGTATCATCTTACTCGCTTCAGAGTTTGGTTCCAGATTCTTCAACAAACCAAGCTCAGCATCCAGGGCGACAAATGTGATGGCTGCGTTGAACGACAAGCATGCGCAAGATCAGTCCATGAATGCAAAAAAAAAAAAATAATAGTTTCAAACCTTGTTTACAGCGCGTCAAGTTTCCGATATGTCGTTTTAACTTCTTTTGGATTAGAACCGATGCTTATGTTCTATACTCACATTCCAAAGCCCATTTAGCTATTTCGTGGAAGAAGTCTGGAGGCATTTCGAGTTTGTCATTCCTAACAGCTTTCATTCTGTTAACAGAACACATCATACACTGTAAAAATTAATGTCCGGAATAAACGACGGATCCTTCGGCAAAAAAATTGCCAACGGTTCCTTCGTTAATTTACGAAGCTCTTCGTATATTTACAAAAACCTTCGTTAATTTTTTGAACAATCTCTGTCGATTTTACTATCACAATAGAAATTTACGAAGCACCTTCGTAAATTTACAGGGAACCTTCGTTAATAAACAAAGAACCTTCGTTAATATACCGTGAAACGGGGTAATTTCGGACACTGGGTGTAATTTCGGACAACTCTGCCCAGAAGCATGGCGATGACGCTCCCATCTAACGGCCAACTTGGAGGCTTGTCCCGTTGCGCGCATCGCATCGGCCACACTTAAAACCATCTGATCAATCACCTGGAGGCCAAATCAGGGGCAAACTTCAGGAGAAAGAGTGGTTTTTGTATTTAACCATTTTTACCTAAATTAACTTAATGCGTTAAAACTTTGACTGGCAAGCCGAAACTGTTCATGGCCGGTTCATGATGTGATTGTTTTTCGATTTGATCATGTTAAGAGCATACAGTGTCAAATTTTCAATCACCTGGGTCAAATAGTATGGTTTATATGGGCTCCTAACTGAAAAAATGTTACTTTACGGGGTAATTTCGGACATACAAACGTCACGTCAGGGAAATTTGGTATGCCCTGAACACTTCCAATTTCGCAGGGTTTGAGTGGTGTAAGCTGAAGAGCTCTTCTGAAAGTTGAAGATAATCCAATAACAACGATATTCCCCAATTGTTACAGCGGTTGCTTTGTAAACTTCAAATTTCGTAAAAATTGGGCAAAGCTACATCTTAAATATTTAGTTTTATGTCTATATCCTACGTTAGTGTCAGCGACTGTTTTGTGATTAATTTTCTTTCATGTGACATGAGAGTTGGACTCGGCGAATGGCTGCATAGCTCGCCGGTACAATTGAAATGCAAAGCTTTCCACTGAGCCCCTGTATCTTCCTAACCGTACATAAGACACGACTACTTGCATGCATGTATGTGATCGTTTGTAATCTTGTAGAGGGAGATTTAAGATTCACTTTCGCGTAATGGCCCGAGTTGCCTAAGAAAGCTTATCGGTCAAAGATTAAAAAATAGAAGCGTTCTAAATGGCTCTACTAGTTCCACCCACTATTCCTGAAATCGAACTACTTATGAGTGCAAAAACATGCCTTCAAATTATGTATGAATGACCACCCCTACCTTACCTTTACATCTCAACCCTTACGAATTTCTCATATAATCATATTAGCACTTTAGAAAGAGACAGTGATCCATTTTGGGACGAAAATCAGATCGAAAAGTCGTTTTTTCCAGGGGTGTCCGAAATTACCCCAAAACACGGGGTAATTTCGGACACTGCTTCGGACCCTCCACTGTAAACAATGTGAGGTGCAGATATTTGAAATAAGCGCCAAATCGAAGCTAAAGGTTGGTAGATGATAAATTTTAACCCTCAAGTCCATGACAGCACCACGACTTTCACAATTTCAAAAAAACCTATCAAAAGTGTCCGAAGTTACCCCGTTTCACGGTACAGAGAACCTTCGTAATTATACGTCTGGAATTAACGACGGATCCTTCGGCAAAAAAAATGCCAACAGATCCTTCGTTTATTTACGAAGGTCCGCCGTAGATTTACGAAAACCCGTCGAAGATTAACGAAGCCCGTCGTAAATTTACGAAGCCCTTCGTTAATTTACAACTGACTTTGTACATTTACGAATTTTCTTCGTAAATTTACTAAGAACCTTCGTAAATTAAAGACAAACTTCCGTTGATTTATAAAAGTTCATGAAGGAAAGAAACACAGTGCACTTTTGGACATTCCCAAAAACCTTCGGAAAACATTCCGTCGTAAATTCACAACATAATTTTTACAGTGTATCGTAGGTGAACATGAATCGTTTCCCTTCACGCTACAGTATTATGTAAGGGAGGGTGGGGCACCATGACCACTGGGGCACCATGACCACCCCCCTCGCTCTCGGGAACTACTTTGTCGACGGCAACCGGTCGACCGGACTTTCGAGAGAATAGAATTCTAACTATTTTCAGCCAAAGCCCTACCTTCTAGCTTCAAGGGTACGACCATAGCACCTCGCCGAAATTTTTGTTACAGCGTTTTGGCTAAATTGGGCGTTTTTCAAATCTGAGATAGTTTTTCTCACTCTCACATTTGAGGAGATAAGTTCGATGTCTTAGGTTTTTCTCAAAATGTCGGCTCTCCGGCATAATATCCAACATCACATTTAATTCTAAGTAGCTTTTTGCTTGCTCGGGGAGCCTTAGAGTCGTAAACTGCATTGTGGGGAGCCATGACCACTTTTTAGTGGGGCACCATGACCATTTATATTTGAGTGTTTTTTCTCATATTTTGGCCTGATAATGATTTATTTTTGTCGAAAATTTGCTTTTTGCTTCTGAAAATGTATAAAGGTTGAATAATTGCTGCAGAATAGATAGTTTTACCACAAATCGTGAATCACCAGGATGATTAAGAATGGTTCTGAAACTGAGACTTGAAATGGTAGTTTCTCTTGCACTAAATGAGCTCCAAACCGCAAAAGTTGGCCGTGAAGGCGATCCGTGGCTACTTTGCACCAAGATGGCTCTGGCGTTATGAGAAACAGCATTTAATTCACTTGTTTGCAGTGTAGTAACCGCGATAATTTTCTTAAAATTTACCAAATTGAAATCCGCATACGAATTTGGATTCGTCTTTGCAAGACAAACATAAAATGTTAACACATGTCATAGCTTTGGATGTGAAATTTGAAAGCCTTAGAGCGTTAACTGTTTTAAACCGTCCATTTTAAGGCATTTTAGAACGTTTGATACTTCGAAGGTTTTTACAGTGTTTTTTAGTTAAGTTGACTGGCCTGATGGTAAGGACAGCGATATAAACCATTTCAATGAGAATACGGGTAGAAAGTACACTTTTTTGGGCCAGAAAATTACTATGGTCATGGTGCCCCACGGGGTGGTCATGGTACCCCATAGGTGGGGCGCCATGACCACTTTGCGTTTTATTTTCCAAAGTGTTCTGTGAGCCTGCCGTGCATTGCAGACAAGTTCCAATGGGTGGAAGAGGTCCTTGGAGGTCCAATGAATCCCCTCATGCTGGAAACTTAACTTTTCGAACCCCACGGTGGAGTAGAGGGAGGCACAAAAAAAAAGTAGTCATGGTACCCCACCCTCCCTTACTTTTTCATGCATAAGCTTTGCGCAAAATTGTTCATACGCTTCGATCTTCGCGAATTTTATAAGCAACAACGCACACTTTTCGTGCAAAGTTCCGCATAAATTCGCGCATTTTAAAACGCATGCTGAATTTTGTGCGACGCTTATGCACAAAAGAGGACATATTTTGTTCCCTTCCTCATAAAATGTTGCGCACACCTGTGGGAAGGCGGCTTGATAAATTCATCTCCTTCCAGGGCCTCTTTGAGTGGGGGTAGCAACCGTTCCCAAGGTCACCTCGCTCGGCACGAAAGGGGGTGAACCCCCTCCCCCTTTTCCCTCTGATACAAGTAACTATTGGGGCGCCACTCTTTACATGGGCAAAAAGCCCTGAGCAAATTTCTCGCACCTCGCACTGAAAATCCAAGTGTGAGACAGTCTCACACTATTCGGAGTCAACCATCGCATCGCTCGCACGGTGAGACACGGTTTATAATTAACTTGTACGAACCGTGGCGTTGAACCACGGAAAACAATAGGCAACAAGTGTAGGACAAACACTTGCAACTGTGTGAGACTTCGGGTTTTCACTCTGGCAAGCGAAGGGCAAGTGTGGCTCACACTTGCAATCACACTAAACGTATAATTTTGTACAAGACATCAAAGTTTTTGGTGCACACGAAATTTTCGTACGAAAAACTGCACATTTTTCGCGAATTTTGTGCGAAATTGTACAAAATTTTGCACTGTAAATGTCTCACGGTGAGAGGCTGCACCAACATATTATGGTGGAGATTTTCTCCATAACACCAACGAAATTCATCAAAATATCTACATGTTGCAGTGAATTCTGAATGGTATGTTATGGAGTCTGCTGCACTACCATAATATGTAACATTTTCACTATAACACTCTCATTCCAGGAACGTGACATCACGTTGAAATGAGCGTGACAAAATGTCACGTTCGTTTGAGCATTGTGTCCACGTTCCTTTGAATGTGTACGAGCTGATTTTTGGCCGATTCACACCCAAACGAATGTGACACAACGCTCAAACGAACGTGACATTTTGTCACGTTCATTTCAACGTGATGTCACGTTCCTGGAATGAGAGTGAATATGGAGAATCTTCACTGTACAACATTTAGAGTGTGTACAAATTTATACGAAAAGTTCGTGTGCACAAAAAACTGTGATGTATACAAAATTTGAACAAAAACATTTAGTGTAAAGCGTGAGAGGTTTTGGCGCTCGCTAAAAATGATGAGACTTGGAAACTTGGATTTTGCAGTGCGGTGGTATACGCGGCGCTTCCGACGACGCATGGCGCCGTGGCGGTAGGCAAGCCAACGCACGCGGCGCTTCTCGGTCGGCCGCGTCCTGCCTCCGCCGCGTGCGTTGGCTTGCCTACCGCCACGGCGCCGGGCGTCGTCGGGGCGTCCACCGTCGAGTGCACTGGCGCCATTGGATCGATTGGATCGCTCCCGTTATCGCTTGCGTTGTCGCATCGGTCTGTGACTTTACAGGTCTCCGAAATCAGCCAACGAATGTGACGTCACATTCGTTAAAATGTGAATTTTGTCACGTTCGTTTGAAAAGGATGTCGCATTCTTTGGAACGAGACTCGGCCGTCTAAGTAGGGTGTCTTATTCGTTGGAACGTGGACCAACATTCAAACGAATATGACATCATATTCAAACGAACGTGACGAAATTCACATTCAAACGTACGAGACGTCCGTCACATTCGTCGGCTACCAGTGATGGATCTCTTCCGAGAGACACACACACTAAATTCTTATAGACTTCTTAAATGCATAAGAACGCATTTTTTATGCATAGTTATGCATGCGCAGAAACGTCCATAAGGTATGTATAATATTATGCACCACTGTGTACATTTTATGCATCTTCCTGCATAAAATGTACACAGTGATGCTTAATATTATACACAACGTATGGATGTATCTGTGCATGCATAACTATGCATAAAAAAGTCCATAAGAATTTAGTGTGTACGACGCTTCGAAAATTTTAGCTGCCGCTGGATGAAAATGCCAAGGATAAAATTATCAACAGGGATCCTTAACTTACCTCATAAGGGCATCATAACGTTATCATAAGAGTTAAAGTTATTACCCTTAACTTCTAACATCTTTTCAAAAGGGTAAGTTATTTCTTTTTGTCTCGAACTTGTGTGAATATACTTTTGGAAGTACTTGCAGAAGTCCGTACCCTTAACCTTTAGGGGACATTGTCTAATGTTACGTTATGAAAGCAGTGTTAGTTAAAATGTTAAGTTAAGTTAAGGATCCCTGATTATCAAGCAAAAACGTCTTTGGTGACGCTGCAAAGTGGGCCAGGAGGCCGGTGCAGGTGACCAAATTTCTAAACGGGTTTGGAGCTCTGGAGTCGCTTGACAGGTCTTGAACCGAACCAACTTTTACACTGAAATTTAAAGAGTGACACATCTAACGAATTTTCGGCGACACAAAAAAAATATCACGAAAAGAACAGTCGCCCTCAAATGTATAACCGAATGAAGGGCGACACTGCAATGAAGCTGGTTATTGGCCAATTCGCACCCAAACGAATGTGATACAATGTTCAAGCGAACGTGACATTTTGTCACGTTTGCTTCAACGTGATGTCACGTTCCTGGAATGAAAGTGTATTGCCCTTTTTTCAGTCAGACAGTTATGTCTCAACCCCCAGAGGGCAAGATGGATCATTATTTGATTTGCAGTGATACCAGCAATGACGGGTTTTGCGCCTCGGAAGGTGAATCTAGCTTCATACCTCTCGGACTAACCTACCTGTCCACGAACTCCTGGCTCACTCTATCGATGGGCTCAACGTATTGCTTGGTATTTCTGGGCTGCATCATGACCTGGTTGACTGCTGTTCGGAATTCTTGCCATTCCTTCCCCTGGCTGAAAGCAAGCGAAAATACATGATGCAACGACACAAAAAACCCAAGAGACTAACAACGTCGAAAAATTTTGAGCGAGTAAGAGAAACCTGCGAAATAGAATAAAATCCTTTTCAAAGGGAGAACGAAAACACCGTTTGTTCATGGAGTCACTCATATTTCTTATGTGATTATAGTCTCATACAATTAGCAGCGACAAAAAGGCTAATGCGATTCCTTCAAATTGCAGCATTCGTGGCGGCAATAAAAAAATTATCGGGTTAAAAATGCAATAAAACTCTGATGTTTAGGCCGGTCTGGGCCCAGATCTCAGTTTTAATGTGATAATTAAGTGATAACTACGCTCGTAGTGATAAATACGCCAATGCCAGACAAAACATTGCATTGCACACTGCTAGAAGAAATCACAACAAAAGTACACAAATTTCTGGCAAATTTTTAATCAGGAATTTATTGTGCATTCAAAGTACAACAATTGTTGTACAAAGTACAATGGAACAGGCATGACGAGGCAGTCCCAGCCTCGCTGTGGTTTGTACCATTCTCGTTGTTCTTTCCACAATCTCTGTTGTACTTTTGTTCTTAAGTTTTTGTTGTACTTTTGTTGTACTATTCACATTTTTTCTTGAAGTACTATGACCGTACTTATTACTTATCTAACGTATAATTATCACTTTATCACTCGCACTTCTAATACAATAACTTTTTCACGTTGCTTATAACACAATATACATGTTATTGCTTTTGAAATGAGTTCAATATTACACTTAGAAAACCAATGATACGGCGTGACTCAAATACAGCCTACAAAATATAATAAAGATTGAAACAAATGCACAACTCAGCCAAATGAGGCTGGCAAACCATGGGGATCCCAATCAAATACTGCAGAATTTGGGGCCTGTGGTGATTTAAATACAAAAAAATGAGAAACTTCCCAAATTCTACATTGGAGTAACAGTCCCAGCTTCCAATATTACAGTCCGAGTGATATTACACTGTGACTCGTGACTATCAGGTTCAGTCACTGCGACTTACACGACGACAAGACTCGGAGGGTAGTCTGTTCTCAAGTTGCGATAGTAGTAGTCCAGTGAGTCCGCACCTCTGCGAAATGGCCAAGGACCTTCGTTTCGAAACACCTAAGGCAGAACAAGACTTCAAGAAACTCCTGACCTCTGAAAAGAGGGATCTGGTTAGTATATCGCAAAAGTGATTTCTTTGTATATCTGCCCAAACAAAGTGTACGGATAAGGGATTTCTTTGCTAATGTGGTCCAACAAAGTGCTTGATATGAATGAAGTTTGAGTTTTGAAAACGATGGCCGCTACACTGTCAGAAAAAAAGTCCGTAAATTTACGGAGAAAGTTACTCTTATTTTGGGAATGGAGGCTCCGCAAATTTTCCATATTTTTACGGAGATTTTCCATATTTTTACGGAGTTTTTCCGTATTTTTACGGAGATGAACCGCATTTTTGCAGAAATAAACGCATTTTAACGGTTTACTTCCCTCCTTCCACCTTCGATGTTAATGCAAACAGTGTCCTTTCAGACGAAAGTGATATTCTCCAAAACTGTTTGAAAAACCACTTGACCACATGCCATTAGGATCGGATAAATGGACGGAAACCCAAAGGCGAGGTCGCTTTAGGGAAGGCGCACTCTTGGAACACCTAATCAGTTGGTCACCCAACCCGTCGATAACGTGAATTAGTCTGTTCTTTTTGATAAGTAAGGCTTCTATTTCATTTATATACATAACTTCCATATTTTTACGGAGAAAATCCATAGTTAAAAAAATGGAGATCTCCGTTAAAAAAAATGGACAGCACTGGTAAAACAAAGGCATAAAAATTACGCCCTTTAGGGCATAAATACTCTTTTACGCCCTTGCAAGGGCATAAATCGTTTTATGCCCTTGGTTAGGGCGTAAATGGTATAGGAATTTCAAGCAAAATTTTAATGCCCTTCCCAAAGGCATTAACGATTTATGCCCTTTAAGGGCGTAAATCGTTCACGCTCTTAAAGGGCATAATTTTTATGCCTTTGTTTCACCAGTGAGTCTCCGTTAAATTTCCGTATTTTTACAGAGTTTTCTGACAGTGTATGGCAGCACCGGGCGATTCCCACAAGGCTCCGAGGAGGCCTCAGCGTCGCGGCGTCACACAAGGGCTGCTTAGCGCCCACGTGGTGGCCATCTGGTGGCCGAACCGCCCTGATGCTTCACCGCTCAAACCTCATTCCGTTAATGTTTTAATGTTAAATGTTTTAAATTTTTTTAAAAGTTTAAACGTTTTAAAGAGAAGCTTCACACAAAAAAAACCACTTGGTCGGCGACATCCTAGGAGCGGGCGCTTGTGGTGTTTTATCGGTTCCTTGTATGTATACGAACTAGTGTTCTGAAGGGTGGGAATATTCCCGGGAAAGTTGGAAATCTTGGGGAACGTTACCGGGAACGTTCAAGGCTCCAAAACGGGAACGTTCCCGACTTAAAGAGAAAATGAAGTATATGTACCGACAAATGCAAGAATTTACTGGGAATTTACATGAACTATGGTTTCTGCCCACGAAAGTTGAATAATGTCATTGGTTTTGACCAACAAGGTGGGCTAAAAATAACGATTTTAAGAAATCGCGAACGTAACATCGCTAAAAACGCTTGTTCTACGACTTGACGTGAATTTTCGGTACTATGGGCAGTGTCAGGCTCCTGGCTCGTCCTCACCAACCGATGCGACTAAGAACTGATCGCTTATAGTATGGTAGCTACACTGAGACAAGGTGGTGCCCTAAAACTGACCGACTAAGTCGCCCGCCCCAGTCTTTAGGGCGACTTGAGTCGCCGAGTTTCTGGGCGACACAGTCGCCTAGTTTTAGTGCATCTTGGTCGTAAATACAGAGCTTACTTATCAATGCTGGCCCAAGGCGCCCACAACCTGAGCACCTTTGGGGTTGGTCCGACCTAATGTAAACCACTGCTGCCCAGATTCGGGGCACCCACTGCGCCTAGATTCGGGGCATCTCTGACGCCACCCAAATGTGAAATCCATTGAGTTTATCCATGTGCAGGCAAACTTGTGTGCAATGCCTTGGGCCAGCTTACCCGTACGAAAATGATGGAGTCCGAAAAGCAGCCAAAAACAGCCGTTTGCGGACCGTCCGAAACGGCTCCGAAAGTCGGACGGGGACAGTTCCTAAATCCGTCCTCGGACAGTTCCCAAAAACATTGAAAAAGACCAAAGTCAGAAAGATTCCGGACTTGTCCTGAGTAACAACGCTAGTCGAAAAACGGACAGTCCGAACAAATGCACCAGCCTGCTGCCCCTCGCCCCTCCCTTTCCCCCTTCCCCTTTCCCTTCGGACGCAGGTTGCTTCGGCCGGCCGGCCGGGGACTTTCCGCGGGAGCAGCGCCCTAGCGCCGGCTCGGCTGGGCAGCCTCCTCTGCCGAGGCGGCTCGGCTCCGATCGACTCGGCTCGGCTCGGGGGGCATGGTGGCGGGTCACACACGGCAAGGGACGCGATTAGCCTCCAGTGGAATATTACACACAAATTTTGATCATGCACTAAGTGTATCATACCTGCAAGTACATGCCTGCACAAGCGAACTCGTTGAAGTTGTTTGCAAATGATGGAAACACTTGGGGACGAGGGTGAAAGAAGAGAGGCGAATAAAATAATACACCTCCCACCCTCTCACCGCCCGTCCTTTAAGTTTGAGAGACACACACACTTGCGGTAGCCAGCAGCCAGCGGATAGTTGTTTGTTTGGGACACTTCGTACAGCAACGCACTCAAATTCGATCAATGTTTAGGAAAACGCCGTACACGACACCTCACCAAAAATTACTCCCAGAACAGTCGCGAATCGCCTGAACATCGCTCCGAGAAAGTATCGAGCGAAAAGTAGATGTGACTTGTGCGCGTTTTTCTGTTCACTGATCACAGATGCGCTGCTGTGCGATGTGACTCGCTCAACAGCTCGCCGTAAACTGGCGAAAACTGCATCTCTGGCCGCGTCCGCCAGGGCGCCAGGTAACCTCGGCGACCCTTCGGCGTGCTTCGGCATGCCGGCGAGCGGCGATTTCCGCGTACCCAGTTGCCGGGACGTCCGGGCGCCCCGGCTCGGCTCAGGTGCATGGGCCGGCTGGGCTCCGGCCAGCGAGGGGCTGCAGTCCGGGACAGCTGCACCTAGGCAGGACTCTTTCGGACAGTCCTTGACTAAGAGTGGTTCTGAAACCAAGAAACGGAACTGTCCGGTCCGGACTCCGATTCGGCCCGGACTCGATTCGGGCCTAACCAGAGGGAAAGCGGAACTGTCCGGGGCTGGTGGACAAGTTTGGAATAGTCCTTGGCTAGGTTTCGGAACTCTTCGCTATTGTAAGGGTAGATAAGTAAGCTCTGTATTTGCGACCAAGATGTCCTAAAAGTAGGCGACTGTGTCACCCAGAAACGAGGCGACTGTGTCGCCCTGAAAGTAGGCGACTCAAGTCGCCCTAAAAACTGGGGCGGGCGACTTGGTCGGTCAGTTTCAGGGCACCACCTTGTCTCAGTGTAACTGTCGACTGGACCCTCTGACTTCACGGGGACCTACTAATATGTTGAGAATCGACCTCAAAGTTTTCAAAGAAGTTTACACGGTAAAAACGGTTCCTGGTTTTCCCAGGAACTGCCTGGAAATCGCCTATGTCCCTACCATAGATAGGCAGGCGTCCTGGGAAAACCAGGTACCGTTTTTACCGTGTAGAGTCTTATCGACTTAAAACGCAAGTCTTTATAGTCTCAAATAGTAATGGATATAGGCTGTTGACGATGGGAAATTGCGAGAATAGTCAAAATTTTCCTGTTTGTACTCTTCAGTAGGCAAATAAAATTATTTTATTAATAAAGCTGAATATTCCCAGTTTTGGGGAATCTTCGGAAATGTTCCCGAGAATTTATTGGGAACGTTCCCCAAAATGATCGTTCCCGGGAAATTTAGAACACTAATACGAACTGCCGAAAAGACACTTGGACGAAATCCGACACCCCCTGTGGCTTTGGTACGGGTGTAAACACCCCAAAAAACAGCTGTTTTCGAGGGTTTGGGACTAGATGGGTTCTCGCAAACCGAGATCCAAAAAAAGTACCCAAATGGGTCTCAGATACTCAAAAAAATGCGCTCTTTCGAATGCCGTGTCGAACGAGGCCCTACGACGTCGGGTTTGGATGCTACGGGCTCTCAAAGTTGCTCAATTTCACTATTTTTACTGAAGATTTGAGCATATCAGGGCCGTTTGAAGTAGACCATCGGCGATTTCGCTCCTCTTTGTCTTAAATGGTGCCTACCCATAGGTAAACAGCCCCACAAAATGTCAGCCATGTCAGGCAATTATTAGAGGAACTGTGAACAATTTAAGTTTTGAGTCATTTTACCACTGGGCTTAGGTGGTTTTTGGTCCCGAAAAAATATTTTTTTTACCTATCTACTTTTGATTAGCACCTCTTGAAACGCCTTTTTAACATAGTGCCTCAAAACTTTTTTTCGAGGACAAACTTGCCTTTTTCTCCAAGTTATGTTCTAATTACAGCTAGAAAAAGACAAGTTTGTCCTCGAAAAAAAAAGTTTTGAGGCACTATGTGTGCCCCTCGGAAACAGCTGTTTTTTGGGGTGTTTACACCCGTACCAAAGCCACAGGGGGTGTCGAATTTCGTCCAAGTGTCTTTTTGGCAGTTCGTATACATACAAGGAACCGATAAAACACCACAAGCGCCCGCTCCTAGGATGTCGCCGACCAAGTGGTTTTTTTTTGTCTGGAGCTTCTCTAAGTTTTCGCGGCTTCTTCCCACTTCTTCTAGGACATCTCTCCTCCTGCTTGTGGAATTTTCATCAGAATGAACGCGTTTCCCTATGAAACCAAATCGCACTTCCGCGCTTTCCATCAATGATAAGACAAAAAAGACTGCTACTGTGACTTCATGAAAAGCGCAGTGTCAACACTCTTAAAAACTTACGAAGTATTTTGAGCATACGTATAACAAACTAAAATACTTTGTTATACGAAGAAACAGTTCGTAAATTACGAAGCATTTTCTTTTTAAGCTTACGTATGCTCAAAATACTTTGTTATACAAACTACTTTTCTTTGTAAGGCCCAAAATAGTTTTTAAGGTTCTCTCAGTGAAGACTGTTTACTTACCCGCGCCACTTCATCAGCGTCGAAAACTGTGACTACATCGGGTTTACCCAAAAACCCGGCCAACTTCACCACTGGCCCATAAGTCTTGTGCAAGCTCTTGAAGAGTTCAGTCGTGTCTAATTTGTAGAACTCACCTACGGATTGGATACAGCGACATGTACAATCATGGTGAGGTGGTCATAGGATGGTGCAGACATCTCAGCTCATTCACATGGCCCACTCACCCATTGGCAAGAACCGGTATATGTTCCCGATGACTGGCAGCGGCTCCGGCCCAGGAATCTTGGTGTAAGGTTGTGCATTCTCCCATTCTAAGTCGCTGGCTGCACCGCTGGCGTCGGCCAGGGCCGTGGCACTTTGAGTGGAGCGCAACCGCAGGGAAACATTTGCCTGTTGCAGAAGAAACACGCACGTACATCTACACATACCCCCAGGAAAATATTGTTGAGAACGCGTCCAATCATGAGACAAGGGGTAATGGACTCGCAACGGAGCTGGCCGGAATCACTGCCTTGCGAATTGTAGTTCACTATTTCTCCGACTAAATATGCGATTTTCGAGATCGCTCGGGCATTTTCGGAAAGAAGACACCTTAAAGTATGCCCAAAATTCGAAAAAGTTTCCATTTTCCCACCAGGGCTCGAACAGGAACAGCTTCACCGTTGCGCTATTCAAATGCGCTAGGCGCCGGCCATGGTGCCAGGGGCGACGCATCTTCAACTTGCGATAGAAGCTTCCGGATGCCGCAAAAGTGACGGGACAGCACCTTGATATATGCCGAAGACAAACTGTGTCCGGTCACTTTTTCGGCATCCGGAAGCTTCTATCGCAAGTTGGAGATGCGTCCCCCCTGCGTCTAAGGTCATATGGAAGATACCGTCAACGGGGGTAACTTGGGACACTTTTTCACGTTTTTTGAACGCCAGAGGCAAGATTCCCAACCCAGACCATTGGATCCTAACTATGTTAAAGTTTGACCCTTTCCCCATGATTTCATGCTTGTCTGGTTCATTTGCCTCGATTACATCGTTTCCAAACGGTCTCGAAAGAGTGTCCCAAGTTACCCCATGACCGGGGGTAACTTGGGACAGTAGGTATAGCTACGTTCCCATGCATCTATTGATGCTAATGGATGTAATAAATTTGGGTCACAACATGTAGACCAAAAATTCATGCCTAGGAACTCTTGTAGGACCGATATTGGACTATATCTAGGGCTCTACGTGGAACTCTCTTTTCTACTGGTATTTTCCAGGCATTTTCTGAAAATTTCAAAATATGGATTACCAGAAGACAAAATTGCAGAGCAAGGCATCTCTTTCCATCATCAGCGTAAAATCCGAAGTTTATGTTATGTCAGGGACCGGGTCAGTCAACTCCTTGGAGGCTACACGGTGAAACCGATGTCTGGAAATTTCCAGACATTTTTTCCCATTTCCAGACATTGTCTGGAAATGGCCGTTTTTTTCCAGACAATGTCTGGAAATGTCTACTTTTTCCAGATAATGTCTGGAAATGGTCAAATCCCAGATTTATATCTGGAAAAAAAACGGCATTTCCAGACAATGTCTGGAAATAACATTTTCCAGATAATATCTGGAAATTTCCCAGATAATGTCTGGAAACAAAGGCCTTGACGCCGAGGTCCACGGATTTGCGACCTGGGGGGTCCCCGATGGTGTCCTCGAGGTCCCCAGGACACGAGTAGTCCAACGCCGAGGTCGCCGACGCTCTAGGACAAGCGGTTCCGGAGATACGAGGACGTACCGCAAGGAGTCCGTCAAAGCAACGTTTTAGTTGGAGGCCAAAATCATCATCGGCCTCTGGCTGCGTTCCACTTGGGTGTCCGGGACTTTTGACTTCAGCATAGTGTTAAGGTAGTGCTAGACTACCAGGAACCCGTCAGGGGTCGCCGTCGGACCAACGGTGCGCCCAGGATGCCGACGAACGTGAGGCACGCCGGAGCGCCGTGGCGTGCCAGGTGCCTAAACAATCGTCGCCACCGCCGCGGCCGCTGCCGCCGGGTCCTCCGCCCCAACCGCGAGCTTGGACGACGGAGGCCGACGCCGTTCGCACCGACGCCGCCGACGTGTACGTCGACGCCACCACGTGCTTAGTCGGCCGTTAGTGTGCTCCAACGGCCGCTTCGGCCTCTGGCTGCGTTCCACTTGGGTGTCCGGGACTTTTGACTTGAGCACTGCGTTGGGGTGCTCCCGGGCAACCATGAACCCGTCAGGGGTCGCCGTCGGACTACCGGTGCGCCGAGGCTGCCGACGAAGTCAGGCACACTGGCGCGCCGTGGCGGGCGAGGTGCCTGAACGATCGCGTCGCCCCCGCCACCGCCGTGTCCTACGTCGCGATCCACAGCTTGGACGACGGAGGCCGACGCCCTTGGCGCCGACGCCGCCGACGTGTCCGTCAACGCCACCACGGCCAGGGCCGACGCCGCTGCCGCGTGCCCGGACGACGGCTGATGCCGCCGGCGTGTCCTTCGTCGCCACCGTGTGCTTTCACGGTCAGAGACGACGCCGTCGGCACCGTCGCCGCCGCCGTGTGCTCGAACGGCCGCATCGGCCCTGGCCGTGGTGGCGTTGACGGACACGTCGGCGGCGTCGGCGCCAAGGGCGTCGGCCTCCGTCGTCCAAGCTGTGGATCGCGACGTAGGACACGGCGGTGGCGGGGGCGACGCGATCGTTCAGGCACCTCGCCCGCCACGGCGCGCCAGTGTGCCTGACTTCGTCGGCAGCCTCGGCGCACCGGTAGTCCGACGGCGACCCCTGACGGGTTCATGGTTGCCCGGGAGCACCCCAACGCAGTGCTCAAGTCAAAAGTCCCGGACACCCAAGTGGAACGCAGCCAGAGGCCGAAGCGGCCGTTGGAGCACACTAACGGCCGACTAAGCACGTGGTGGCGTCGACGTACACGTCGACGGCGTCGGTGCGAACGGCGTCGGCCTCCGTCGTCCAAGCTCGCGGTTGGGGCGGAGGACCCGGCGGCAGCGGCCGCGGCGGTGGCGACGATTGTTTAGGCACCTGGCACGCCACGGCGCTCCGGCGTGCCTCACGTTCGTCGGCATCCTGGGCGCACCGTTGGTCCGACGGCGACCCCTGACGGGTTCCTGGTAGTCTAGCACTACCTTAACACTATGCTGAAGTCAAAAGTCCCGGACACCCAAGTGGAACGCAGCCAGAGGCCGATGATGATTTTGGCCTCCAACTAAAACGTTGCTTTGACGGACTCCTTGCGGTACGTCCTCGTATCTCCGGAACCGCTTGTCCTAGAGCGTCGGTGACCTCGGCGTTGGACTCCCCGTGTGCTGGGGACCTCGAGGACACCATCGGGGACCACCTGGGTGGTGGCGACAACGGTGTTGAACCGTGTGGCGGCACAGCAGCCACGTTCGTCGGCATCCTGGGCGCACCGGTGGTCCGACGGCAACCTCTGACGGGTTCCTGGTAGTCTAGCACTACCTTAACACGATGCTGAAGTGAAAAGTCCCGGACACCCAAGTGGAACGCAGCCAGAGGCCGATGATGATTTTGGCCTCCAACTAAAAAGTTGCTTTGACGGACTCCTTGTGGTACGTCCTCGTATCTCCGGAACCGCTTGTCCTAGAGCGTCGGCGACCTCGGCGTTGGACTACTCGTGTCCTGGGGACCTCGAGAACACCATCGGGGGACCCCCAGGTCGCAAATCCGTGGACCTCGGCGTCAAGGCCTTTGTTTCCAGACATTATCTGGGAAATTTCCAGATATTATCTGGAAAATGTTATTTCCAGACATTGTCTGGAAATGCCGTTTTTTTTTCCAGATATATATCTGGGATTTGACCATTTCCAGACATTATCTGGAAAAAGTAGACATTTCCAGACATTGTCTGAAAAAAAACGGCCATTTCCAGACAATGTCTGGAAATGGGAAAAAATGTCTGGAAATTTCCAGACATCGGTTTCACCGTGTAGGACTGCTGGAAACATGAGGAAAAGACTGTCCCAAGTTACCCCGTAAAATTTCGATTTCTGACATAATGAAGTCTGGACCGAAGATGGGAGAACTATAATCAACGCCCTTTTGCGAACGTTATTGTCTGTGTATGATCTAACAGCCCAGAGAGACTAATCGGCCAAATCTGCATTTCACTCCTTGCACTGGGGTCAACTTGTCAATGTTTGACATATTTTGTCAAAAGCCCTATTATGTAGTTTCCCGTTTCTTAAATACAGATTGTGATGTTATGCGCCTTTTGTACCTTTCCGCGCGTGCCCTGAGGCCTCTGAAACAAAACCCTGCCGCGGGTTTGACGCTAGGAACCCCCGTCGCTGAATGGCAGCACCAACAAGCTGTACAGGGCGGACTGTCCCAAGTTACCCCCGTTGACGGTAGGTCTGCGCAACCGAGATGCATGCTGGGAGACCGGGCAAGCCGGCAGGCAGGCTGGCAGGCAGGTAGGCGGTCCTCCGCTGCGGCCGGCGACGGATTCGGGAGGGATTAGCTGCCCGGTGCGGCCGGCGACGGATTCGGGAGGGATTAGCTGCCCGGTCTCCCAGCATGCATCTCGGTTGCGCAGACCTATCTTCCATATGACCTTACCTGCGTCGCCCCTGGCACCATGGCCGGCGCCCTGCGCATTTGAGTAGCGCATCGGCGAAGCTATTCCTGTTCGAGCCCTGGTGGGAAAACGGAAACTTTTTCGGTTTTGGGCATACTTTAAGGTGTCTTCTTTCCGAAAATGCCCGAGCGATCTCAAAAATCGAATATTTAGTCGGAGAAATAGTGAACTACAATTCGCAAGGCAGAGATTCGGGCCAGCTCCGTTGCGAGTCCATTACCCCTTGTCTCGTGGTCCATCATTATCATCAAACTGAAAAAATTGCGTTTTCTAGAGCCTGGCTCCACGATGACACTTCGCTCTCGTTGCCCGACGTTTAATCGCGTGAGCACAATATATTGGATAGGTATCCGTGACAATGTGTCCGAACGTGAAAAAGATCTTCACTCAGAGGGATATCTCACCTTTTGGGCTCCGACAACGGTGCGGACGGACTGCGATATCCGAAACATTATTAGATGAATCAACCTGTAAGAAGAGAGGCAGAGTTATACAAGTCAAGGCAAAACAGTTGCGATGCAGGGGAACATCCCTTAACTGTAAAACAAATGCCCAGCTTGGGCTTTTCATAGTCCTGGTAAAGACGACGTTCAACGTGTTTTCCGGACACACTCCCCTCTCACTTTAGCGGCTCTGTGCAATCCCAGAGGAAAGGTTCATTGGGACACTTTTAATATTCATGCATAGAATTTTGTACGTGTACCTTGCATGATGTTGTGCACACATGGTGTTCGCATGTTATGCGCATTCTCTTACGCAAAGGTGAGCACAAGTTTATGCAAAACCTTACACAGCTTGAAAATCATGCTAACGCCGAACAAAACTGAACATAAACATAAGCTCGTCGTTGAACCGACTTTCTAAGTACTTCGACGATTAACCTGGCGAATTGTCACTCTTTTACCCTACGCATTACTGTTAATGTTTCAAAGTAAGATAAAAATCAATTGTGGGCCACTTTTTTACTCGTTCCCCTTACAATAGCGAAGAGTTCCGAAACCTAGCCAAGGACTATTCCAAACTTGTCCACCAGCCCCGGACAGTTCCGCTTCCCCTCTGGTTTGGCCCGAATCGAGTCCGGGCCGAATCGGAGTCCGGACCGGACAGTTCCGTTTCTTGGTTTCTGAACCACTCAAAGTCAAGGACTGTCCGAAAGAGTCCTGCCTAGGTGCAGCTGGCCCGGGCCCGGGCCGAGCCGGGGCGCCCGGACGTCCCGGCAACTGGGTACGCGGAAAACGCCGCTCGCCGGCGTGCCGAAGCAAGCCGAAGGCCCGAAGCCCGAAGGGTAGGCCGCATCAAAAATCACCGATTTTTGCGAATTCACATTTCTCTGAAAGATCATGTTCAGAAACGACCCTCCACCAAATTTGAGCGCGTTCCGACGACGGGAACCCGAGGCGCACAGTGCCTAAAGATTTGCGGTCCGCGGGTTGCCTACCTCTAGCTGCTTCTTCTCGGCGCCGCGGCTCTCTGCTGGTGCACTCAAGGAACGCAACACAGCGTTGGGGCTGTCCTTTGGGGTCAGTACTACACATTCAATACGTTTTGAGCACCGTCGGGTGCGACCCCGCGAGTACACCGCGAGAAAACCGCGAAATCGGTTTACTCTACTTTCTACGCATTTGAAGCGTTCGCGGCGGGCGAAATCGCTGGTGGAGCAGCACAACCATATCGGCCAAGGACACACAAAGTTTGAGCAGAATGCGCCACCTGCATCACCGTCAAAATGAGGGGAACAGTGTTGCGCCGGGAAGCTAGGCCACTGGTTGGCCATAACAAAAGTCACCGATATTTGCAAATCGACCTATTTCCGCCTATTTCTAGGAGACCATGCTTAGAAACGACCCTTCACCGAATTTGAGCGCATTCCAATAACAGGAAAACGAGTTCCACTGGGTGAAAATGTGATTGTGCCGCGGGTGGCCTACCTCCGGACCGAGCGCAACACTATTCCCCTCATTTTGACGGTGATGCAGGTGGCGCATTCTGCTCAAACTTTGTGTGTCCTTGGCCGATATGGTTGTGCTGCTCCACCAGCGATTTCGCCCGCCGCGAACGCTTCAAATGCGTAGAAAGTAGAGTAAACCGATTTCGCGGTTTTCTCGCGGTGTACTCGCGGGGTCGCACCCGACGGTGCTCAAAACGTATTGAATGTGTAGTACTGACCCCAAAGGACAGCCCCAACGCTGTGTTGCGTTCCTTGAGTGCACCAGCAGAGAGCCGCGGCGCCGAGAAGAAGCAGCTAGAGGTAGGCAACCCGCGGACCGCAAATCTTTAGGCCCTGTGCGCCTCGGGTTCCCGCTGTCGGAACGCGCTCAAATTTGGTGGAGGGTCGTTTCTGAACATGATCTTTCAGAAAAATGTCGATTCGCAAAAAAAAAATTCGATTTGATGCGGCCTACCGAAGGGTCGCCGAGGTTGCCTGGCGGACGCGGCCAGAGATGCAGTTTTCGCCAGTTTTCGGCGCGCTGTTGAGCGAGTCACATCGCACAGTAGCGCATCTGTGATCAGTGAACATTGAGGAACGCGCACAAGTCACATCTACTTTTCACTCGTTACTTTCTAGGAGCGATGTTCAGGCGATTCGCGACTGTTCTAGAAGTAATTTTTGGTGAGGTGTCCTGTACGGCGTTTTCCTAAACATTGATCGAATTTGAGTGCGTTGCTGTACTAAGTGTCCCAAACAAACAACTATCCGCTTGGCTGCTGGCTACCGCAAGTGTGTGTGTGTCTCAAACTTGTAGGACGGGCGGTGAGAGGGTGGGAGGTGTATTATTTTATTCGCCTCTCCTCTTTCACCCTCGTCCCCAAGTGTTCCCATCATTTGCAAACAGCTTCAACGAGTTCGCTTGTGCAGGCATGTACTTGCAGGTATGCTACAGTTAGTGCATGATCAAAATTTGTGTGTTATATTCCACTGGAGGCTGTAAATCGCGTCCCTTGCCGTGTCTGACCGGCCACCGTGCCCCGAGCCGAGTCGAGCCGAGCCGCCACGGCAGTGGTGGCCGCCCAGCCGAGCCAGGTAGGGTGAGCCGAGCCGGCGCTAGGGCGCGCTCCCGCGGAAAATCCCCGGCCGGCCGGCCGGCCCAAGCAACCTGCGTCCGAAGGGAAAGGGGGAAAGGGAGGGGCGAGGGGCAGCAGGCTGGTGCATTTGTTCGGACTGTCCCTTTTTCGACTAGCGTTGGTACTCAGGACAAGTCCGGAATCTTTCTGACTTTGGTCTTTTTCAATGTTTTTGGGAACTGTCCGAGGGCGGATTTAGGAACTGTCCCGGTCCGACTTTTGGAGCCGTTTGCGGACGGTCCGCAAACGGTTGTTTTTGGCTGCTTTTCGGACTCCAACATTTTCGTACGGGTCTTTACACCCTAATTTCAAAATTTAGGTTAATGTGAAGAGAACGAGTATTGTGCTCAAAATCAGTTTTTGTTAGCTACATGATTCAACTCTCTATGCACACAAGGAAAACCATATGTAATGTACTCATTTGAAAGATCAAAGCCTCATCTTTAAGGCGTAAATGAAGTATTTTTCATTTCATTATGAAAGTTTTTGAGCAAATGAAGATTGAAAATGTTCATTAAAACTGGCTGGTGTCTAGTAATGAGAGGTTATAACACTTCGTTGTTTCGTGATTAATATCGAATTTGCATGTGCCATAGCACAAATCCACTTCCCTGTGCTTTGTTTAACATTTTTCATTTGAGGATTATCTCTCTTAGCAAACAAACATTTAAAATATCTGCAGTTTTTCAACCTTCCTTTGCACGGCCTGCCGCTAACATCGGCGACCCGTGGCGCCACCACGCGGATTTCAAACGAACTACTGTAATGGCGGTAGATGTTGAACGTACTTTCATTTCGAGCTTAACAATTATTCAACTACCTGGCCACTTGTGTTAACCACTAGACATCCTTTATTCACAAAACAAATGTGTAAAGAACGAGTCATTTATTTAATATCAATTCATTGATATTTCGCACCATTCCTTTAAACTCTTTTTCTTTACTTCTTGTTGAAAAAATATTAATTTTGAACAAGTGACCAAAGTAGCTTTGAGACGTTTAAATACGATCCCTTGACAGCGTTATGCCGCAAAGCAGCCCCGTCTGTCACCCTCGTTTACTCAGCTACGGCCATTTTAAAACCAGACTGTTTTGGCCTACAGTTGATTTTTGGAACCATTTGTGGGTCAGCAATTTTTCAAGCTACTCGCGCCTCAAGTCTTGTTCAACTTGGTCCAAAACTTACGTTCACTCTCATTCCAGGAACGTGACATCACGTTGAAACGAACGTGACAACATGTCACGTTCGTTTGAGCGTTGTGTCACATTCGTTTCGGTGTGAATTGGCCAAACACCAGCTTGTTCACATTCAAACAAATGTGACACAATGCTGAAACGAACGTGACTAAATGTCACGTTCGTTTCAACGTGATGTCACATTCCTGGAATGAGTGTGTTGGCTTACGTGTTAAGGTTACGCACTTAAATCGGCATGGGCGTCCCCCTTCATTCCTTAACTTAATTCTCTGAAAATGTTTGAAAAACTTCCCTTCTTTCCTTTTTTTCTTGCCCTCGGATATGCCCAATTTTCAGATGAATTTTACAGGTCTCTCTTTGCTTCCCTATAGGTAGCGTTGTGGTCGTTGCTCAGATCTCCGCGCTGTTTCAGGTGAAAAAGAAAGGTTGAGGGAACACCCATATCGAATTTGAAATCTTTTCACGCATATATAGATCTGTAGCGGCCTGTCAAACAAAATGACCCATATGTATCACTGTGGCAACAAGCTACGGAAAAATCTTGGAAAGAGCTTGTGGTAAATATCCGTAGCCCCCTTGTCAACTGTGAAAAATTCCGTACTTTTGTACGGAATTGATTCAGAAAATTATAGTACGTAGGTACGGAGAAAAGTACGGAACGTCCGTACTTGTTCCATATGAACAGGGAAGTTCCGTATAGTTGGCATCTCTGCAAAGTCAAGTGTGTACCAGGCATGCACTTCTTGGTGCATGCCTCCAAGCACACACTTCCTGGTGCATGCCTGGCAGGCACACACTTCTTTTCTGCATGCCTGGCAGGCACACACTTCCTGGTACATGCCTCAGGCACACACTTGCCGTCGCTTATGCATGCATACAAGCAAGTTGCCTGAGGCATGCACTAGGAAGTGAGTGCCTGCCAGGCATGCAGAAAAGAAGTGTGTGCCTGCCAGGCATGCACCAGGAAGTGTGTGCTTGGAGGCATGCACTTAAGTTTGCAGAGCAAGTACGGACGGTCCAGGCAAATTCGGGCAAATTATTGACCAGACATGTTCCGTACCGTCACGGGGGTAACTTGGGACACTTTTTCACGTTTTTTGAACGCCAGAGGCAAGATTCTCAACCCAGACCAATGGATGCTAACTATGTTAAAGTTTGGCCCTTTCCCCATGATTTCATGCTTGTCTGGTTCATTCACTGAGAAAACA